TGAACGGTTGTGCGCGGCTGCTTCCAGCCGCCAGTAGACGTGAACGGTTGTGCGCGGCTGCTTCCAGCCGCCAGTAGATGTGAACGGTTGTGCGCGGCTGCGTCCAGCCGCCAGTAGATGTGAACGGTTGTGCGCGGCTGCGTCCAGCCGCCAGTAGACGTGAACGGTTGTGCGCGGCTACGTCCAGCCGCCAGTAGACGTGAACGGTTGTGCGCGGCTGCGTCCCGCCGCCAGTAGACGTGAACGGTTGTGCGCGGCTGCGTCCAGCCGCCAGTAGACGTGAACGGTTGTGCGCGGCTGCGTCCAGCCGCCAGTAGACGTGAACGGTTGTGCGCGGCTGCGTCCAGCCGCCAGTAGACGTGAACGGTTGTGCGCGGCTGCGTCCAGCCGCCAGTAGACGTGAACGGTTGTGCGCGGCTGCGTCCAGCCGCCAGTAGACGTGAACGGTTGTGCGCGGCTGCGTCCAGCCGCCAGTAGACGTGAACGGTTGTGCGCGGCTGCGTCCAGCCGCCAGTAGACGTGAACGGTTGTGCGCGGCTGCGTCCAGCCGCCAGTAGACGTGAACGGTTGTGCGCGGCTGCGTCCAGCCGCCAGTAGACGTGAACGGTTGTGCGCGGCTGCGTCCAGCCGCCAGTAGACGTGAACGGTTGTGCGCGGCTGCGTCCAGCCGCCAGTAGACGTGAACGGTTGTGCGCGGCTGCGTCCAGCCGCCAGTAGACGTGAACGGTTGTGCGCGGCTGCGTCCAGCCGCCAGTAGACGTGAACGGTTGTGCGCGGCTGCGTCCAGCCGCCAGTAGACGTGAACGGTTGTGCGCGGCTGCGTCCGGCCACGTCCAGCCGCCAGTAGACGTGAAGGGTTGTGCGCGGCTGCGCGGCTGCGTGAACGGTTGCCACGTCCAGCCGCCAGTAGACGTGAAGGGTTGTGCGCGGCTGCGTCCGGCCACGTCCAGCCGCCAGTAGACGTGAAGGGTTGTGCGGCTGCGTCCGGCCACGTCCAGCCGCCAGTAGACGTGAAGGGTTGTGCGCGGCTGCGTCCGGCCACGTCCAGCCGCCAGTAGACGTGAAGGGTTGTGCGCGGCTGCGTCCGGCCACGTCCAGCCGCCAGTAGACGTGAAGGGTTGTGCGCGCTGCGCCGGCTGCGTCCGGCCACGTCCAGCCGCCAGTAGACGTGAAGGGTTGTGCGCGGCTGCGTCCGCCACGTCCAGCCGCCAGTAGACGTGAAGGGTTGTGCGCGGCTGCGTCCGGCCACGTCCAGCCGCCAGTAGACGTGAAGGGTTGTGCGCGGCTGCGTCCGGACGTGAACGGTTGTGCGCGGCTGCGTCCAGCCGCCAGTAGACGTGAAGGGTTGTGCGCGGCTGCGTCCAGCCGCCAGTGGACGTGAAGGGTTGTGCGCGGCTGCGTCCAGCCGCCAGTACACGTGAAGGGTTGTGCGCGGCTGCGTCCAGCCGCCAGTGGACGTGAAGGGTTGTGCGCGGCTGCGTCCAGCCGCCAGTAGACGTGAAGGGTTGTGCGCGGCTGCGTCAGCCGCCAGTAGACGTGAAGGGTTGTGCGCGGCGCAGCCGCCAGGACTGCGTGCGCGGCTGCGTCCAGCCGCCAGTAGACGTGAAGGGTTGTGCGCGGTTTGTCCAGCCGCCAGTAGACGTGAAGGGGGTTGTGCGCGGCTGCGTCCAGCCGCCAGTAGACGTGAAGGGTTGTGCGCGGCTGCGTCCAGCCACGTCCAGCCGCCAGTAGACGTGAAGGTTTGTGCGCGGCTGCGTCCAGCCACCAGTAGACGTGAAGGGTTGTGCGCAGCTGAGTCCAGCCCCCATTATACGCATAGACACTCGTATAGCTTATGGCCATATTCCAAGAATAGAAAAGTTTCTATTTTTTCAAATTCCCATAACTCTGCAAGTGTTTATATGTTTTCTTTGTGCCTCATTCACAAAAAAACACTGGTATGGCGTAGTGGGCAAAAATTCAGACATGCATGTTGCCACAGTGACACTTCAAAAAAGGTTAAAAAAAAAAAGTAAACAGATACGGTAAAATGTGCATTTTATTTTCCCCCTGCCAGACCTCACATAGACAATAGCCCGCTGTGTTTTACCAAGCAGTCTAGTATGATTGAGCCCTTAGAGGGAAAAACAAAAAAAATTATGCACGTATTTTTGCAAGAGAAAACTGAGCATTTATAATTTTTTTCACAGGCGCCTGCAGAGCACTATACCTGTGATCAGCGGATGAAGGGTGCAGTGTCAGGCTCCTGCAGACATTGCCTACAGCTCTGTGCCGCCTAGCTCTGCTCAGGCTGTCAGTTTCAGAGCTGTAGGAAGTGTGAATATCCTACCAGCATGCTAATCCGCTTACTTGCAGTTTTTTTAAATCCCAGTTGTGGACAGGACTTGTACTTTATGTATTTACAGATCCCTGTGAATGAATGAATGACGCAGCTGTGCGGGTGGAGCCCCAGACAGATACACTGATTTTAAATGTGACAGCCTCCCTCCTTGTCTGGGGCAGGGAGGGGGGCTGTGGCGGTGAGAGGCGGGTGATTAAGACCCATAATACGGGTGTAACATATGACATGTTCCTAAAGGTGAACCCGTCCATGAAGGGGCGCTTTCACACTGCCTACTGCAGTTTGACCGCAGCACAGGTGCAGTGCAGCAGGACCTGCAGTTTCCCATACACACGGTTTCATTACATCCTGAATTTTTGGTGCATTTTCTGAAAGTGCACACAAAAGTCCTGCATGCTGCATCTTTGCACCAATGCATCAAAAATGTGGGGCATAATAAAAGTCCATGGGAAACTGCGGGTAACTCGCAGGAAAACTTTGGGTACACTGCTCTACACCTTTGCTGCAGCGTGAAAGAGCCCTAATGCAAGTGAAAAGATCATGGGTCTGTTGGCAGTTTAAACAGACGATGAACCTATGTTACAAGGGGACACCAAAAACAAAACCTGCCATGTTATTACTATTGAAAGACTACATCATGTCATCTTTTATTTCGCCCCCCACTACATATAAGCGATTCACAGGGCTTTTTGTTCTCAGAGAATAGGTGCAGGAACTTCCCCCTTGTCTTTGCCCCCTACTCACCTCTGAGCACCACTCCTTGATTTCACCCCTACTCACCTCCCAGTACCACCCCTTTTCAACCCCAAAACAACAATGGACCCCCACAACAAAATACTACCCCAGCAACCTTAGACCCCCTGCAACAACAACAGATTTCCCATTAATAGATCCTCCAGCAGCCAGCAAAAGAAGACGTCTGCCTCAACAGTAGCTCCCTCTCAGCAACAATTGACCCCCAGCAACATAAGACCCCCCCCCTTTCCCAGGAACAATATACCCTCATGCAAAAATAGATCCCCTCCAGTGACAATAGATCCTCAAGCAGCCAGCATCAAAAGACCCTGCAGCACCCCTTGCCATTACATAGGTTCAGTGCTGGAGGTGAAGAGCTCTGATGAAGAAGGGTCTCCCTTCGAAACGCGTCAGCCTCACTTTGAAAGTCTACCCTCGTGACTCGACTTACATTGGCTGTACACTCCCAAGTTCCTTTCAGGATCTGTAATGCTTGTTTTACATCCTTGTTTGTGAGTATATATATTTTATTTAATAAAATTATTATTATTATTATTATACAGTATTTATAAAGCGCCGATAGTTTGCTCAGCGCTGTACATTACAAAGGGGGACAGAACATGTGACAGAACAATACCAATACAATGCAAAACATGAGGGGGATCGAGGGCCCTGCTCTTTCGAGCTCACAATCTAGGAGGGAGGGGATGGTGGTACAGGAGGAGACGGCTGTGGTGGATGGAGTGGTAGGAAGAGTGGAGGAGGTCGGCAAGTTAGCAGGGGTGGGGTAGGCTTCCCTGAAGAGATGGGTTTTCAGGGTGCGCCTAAAGGAGAGGAGAGTAGGTGATAATCTGATGGGTTGGGGCAGGGAGTTCCAGAGGATGGGTGACACCCTGGAGAAGTCCTGGAGGCGGGCATGGGAGGAGGAGACCAGGGAACTAGAGAGAAGGAGGTCTTGTGAGGAGCGGAGTGTGCGTGTTGGTGTGGTACTTGAATATTAGGTCAGTGATGTAGTTCGGGGCAGTATGGTGGACGGCTTTGTACGTCAGTGTTAGGATTTTGAATTTGATCCGTTGCACAATCGGAAGCCAGTGGAGGGATTGGCAGAGGGGGGTGGTGGCGGAAACGGAGCGGTTGGTGAAAGGTGAATGAGTCTGGCAGCCGTATTCAAGATGGACTGAAGCGGGGATAGCCAGCGGCGAGGCAGGCCAGTGAGGAGGGAGTTGCAGTAGTCGAGTCGTGATATGATGAGGGAGTGGATGAGCTGTTTAGTGGTTTCTGGGGTTAGGAACGTGCGGATTTTGGCGATGTTGCGGAGTGGAGTCTGCACGAGTTTGTTAAAGATTGGACTTGGGGCTGGAAGGATAGGTTGGAGTCCAGAATGACACCAAGTACTCTGGCCTGCGGGGCGGGTTTGATGGTGGCGTTGTTACTGTCACCGAATTACTGAGGTAATGCGCAAGGTTGGTGCGCTCTTTTTTTTTTGCTTCACTTCACATTATCAGTTGGGCTTCCCCAGCCCTGTTGTAGAGCTGCACATCCTTCCATGCACTGGTGGAATTGTTTTGAGGTTCCTCGATTCCTTCATCTCTGATTTGAGTCCTACAGCATAGGAGATGTTATCATTATATCAGTGCTGGAGGTACCAGAATTGCGTTCCCCCGCGTTCCTGCTGAAAAAAAGCCCTGGTGCTTCAGTGTACTTGCTAAATTATCTCAAAATGAATCTTCTCTGCACTTTGACAACCAAAAAAATATATATTTATATAAGGAGTTGCCCAGATTCCTCCTCTTCTCTCACTTTAAAATAGAACTGTAGACGAGGCGTTTTCTTTTTAGTCTCTGACGCAGTGGGGAAGGGTTATCCACTGGAGTACACCACCTTGCACATTGCTCACATTTTAATTCTTTTGTGCCACTTACAGGTTAGCTACATGGAAATTTACTGTGAGCGAGTCCGAGACCTGCTGAACCCCAAAAACAAAGGAAACCTTCGTGTCAGGGAGCACCCGCTGCTGGGGCCCTATGTGGAAGACCTGTCCAAGCTGGCTGTCACCTCATACACTGATATTGCCGACCTGATGGACGCAGGAAACAAGGCCAGGTGAATATAAAAGAGCATATATAGCCGCTTTTAAAGCTCAGTTCCACTCATCCTGTCAAAAAATAAAAGTCAGCAGCTACAAAAACTGTAGCTGCTGATTTTTAAAAAAACAGCCACTTACCTGTCCCTCGGTCCTGCGGTGTGTCCCCTGCAGCCCGTTTCACCTGTATTCCAGGAGGCCGGCATCTTTAGTGTGGGCCCCCGGCTGTGAGAGCTTGTGTCTTCACAGCCGGGTACCCACTGTGCATGCGTGAGTAGCGCTGCTCTTCATGAATGGTCCTGTAGTCTTCTGGGATCTGTCACGTGTCCCAAAAGACTACAGGAAAGGAGGGAGGACACCTAGGCGATCGGACCAGAAGTGGGAGCGGGTACCTGTCAAATTCGGGTACCCGCTTTCCCGCCCCCCCAAAGGTGGCAATCCTTAATGGGGAGCAGTCCTTAAAGCGGAACTTCCCCTTTTGGGTGGAGCTCCGCTTTCAGGGGAAAACTAAAACGCTTTCTGGTTTTCTGATGGTTCCAGCAGCCAGTTACATGCTGCTGATATGGGAGGACACATTGGTACAGGGCGAGGGGAAAGGATGCACGGCTAGAGGCTAACTTCGTGTTATGGGGGTTAATTTTAGTCGTAGATTAGGTGTTGGGATTAATATTAGTGCAGTCTCAGAATAGGGAATAATTTTTTTTTACTCTCCCAGCGCTGGAACTTCATGCTAACATCATACAGTGCCAAGGTCTCAGAGCCAGAATATTATGTACTGGCATTAACATGTCACATCCGAGCAGATATAAACCAGAAGACAAAGATGCAGGCCTGGACTGGCATTGTGGAGACTGGTGAGAGCCAGAAAGTCAGAGGCATTTCATAGAATCCATCCTAGAAGCTCTAAAATGATCACCATTTGAGTGCTTCTCCTTCAGTCTGACCCAGCCTGAGCCTATAAATCTCTGGATAAAGTCCGGTATCTCTTCATAGGAACGTGCACTATTTTAAAATCATTCTGTCTCTACAGGACGGTAGCCGCCACTAACATGAATGAGACCAGCAGTCGCTCCCATGCAGTCTTTACCATTGTCTTTACCCAAAAGAGATTCGACGTAGAGACCAACCTCTCCACTGAGAAGGTAAGCAATACATGTCACAGCGATTTCAATTCTCCAGTAATTGTTTAAGGATGACCACATATCTTCTCACCCATCTTTCTTTGCAAGCCAGTGGCTCTCTAGGGCAGCCTTTCTCAACCTTTGTACCCTTGAGCAGGTGTGTTACACTCAATGTAATCGCAGGCCTCATCAGTACTATGGTTGCCCTTAAAGGGCTGGTTGTATCTGTACTAAATGTCCAAAGCACCCCCCCCCCTCCTTACATCAGATGTCAAGAGCCCCCCACCCTCCCTTACTTTGTACTACTTCTGGGAAGAAGCTGGGGCGGAATTGGGAAGCAGAAAGTGCAAGGTCTGCAGGAGCAGAGGAGGGCTGGAGTCAGCTGAATTCTGAGAACAGGGGAGGCAGAGATGAGGGGGTGCTGCAGCTGCACAGAGAAATGCAGGATCTGTAGGAGGAGTTCTGCCCTCCTCTCTGCTGCCATCTGCTGAGATCGGGGAAGGGGGCAGAGACGAGCCTCTCCACAGCTGCACGGAGAAGAGCAGGAACTAGTGAAGGAGTTCTGTCCTTTCTGCTGAGACAAGGTGGGGGAGGAGATGAGGGGGTGCCGCAGCTGCAGGAGAGGTGCGAGTGCCACATGAAATGGCTTGGTGGGCCAGAAGATTCAGCCCGCTTGCCTTGTGTTTGACAAATGTGCCCTAGAGTAACCCTCAAAATAATTTTCAGGTCTCTGTGAAACCCTATTAAAATCAATTTATTGGGGTCAGTAGGAAAAATATGCCCCTACATTGGTGGTCAGAGGGAACAATGCCCCCCTTCCTTTGCAGTGGTGGTCAAAATGCCACCCTTACACACAGCTAAAAGGTTAATTTGTGTCATACAACTGACCCATCAAGTGTCATTGGCCCTGGATCTATGCAGGAACTATCAAAGGGGAGATCAATCAGCCACAGCCAGGGGCGAACTGACCATTTGGAAACTCAGGCACTGCCCGAGGTCAGTTGGGGCCTCATGAGATGCCCCTGGTATCTTTTTCATAGGCTTTTTTGAGCTTGGGCAAGGACACAGGGGCCCCATGATCCCTATTGCCCAGGGGCCCCATGAGTTGTCAGTCCGCCCCTGACCACAGCTCAGCAAACCCCCTAGCAACCTCTGCTGGAACCCTAGGTTTCCATAGAACCACCCTAGTTGAGAATGGCTGCTCTAGGGTCACCTTAATTTTATAATTATATGCTGTAATTTGATTTATTTTATATTGTACTGCTAAGCCCCTGAGGAAGCGATCATTGTCGCGAAACATGTTGGGCCATTTTCCTGTGGTTTAATGTCCTCCACCCCCCTATAGGATTCATCTGGTGGTTATTATGTTTCCTATCATTAAGGTGTTCCATGTATAAGGTGGGCTGTGGGACATTGTCTGCAGGGACAGTACAGGTGAAACTCAAAAAATTAGAATATCGTGCAAAAGTTCATTTATTTCAGTAATGTAACTTAATAGGTGAAACTAATATATGGGATAGACTCATTACATGCAAAGCAAGATAGTTCAAGCCGTGATTTGTCATAATTTTGATGATTATGGCTTACAGCTCATGAAAACCCCAAATCCACAATCTCAGAAAATGAGAATATTACATGCAATCAATAAAACAAGGATTGTACATAGAACAATATCGGACCTCTGAAAAGTAGAAGCATGCATATGTACTCAGTACTTAGTTTGGGCCCCTTTGCAGCAATTACTGCCTCAATGCGACGTGACATGGAAGTTATCAGCCTGTGGCACTGCTGAGGTGTTATGGAAGACCAGGATGCTTCAATAGCGGCCTTCAGCTCTTCTGCATTGTTCGGTCTCATGTCTCTCATCTTTCTCTTGGAAATGCCCCATAGATTCTCTATAGGGTTCAGGTCAGGCGAGTTTGCTGGCCAATCAAGCACAGTAATCTCACGGTCCTTGAACCAGGTTTTGGTGCTTTTGGCAGTGTGGGCAGGTGCCAAGTCCTGCTGGAAAATGAAGTCAGCATCCCCATAAAGCTTGTCTGCGGAAGGAAGCATGAAGTGCTCCAAAATCTCCTGGCAGACGGCTGCGGTTGATCCTGGACTTAATGAAGCACAGTGGACCAACTCCAGCAGATGACATGGCTCCCCAAATCAACACAGATTGTGGAAACTTCACACTGGACTTCAAGCATCTTGCAGTGTGTGCTCTCCATTCTTCCATACTCGGGGTCTTGTGCCTCTCCATTCCTCCATACTCGGGGTCCTTGTGCCTCTCCATTCTTCCTCCATACTCAGGGTCCTTGGTTTCCAAATGAGATGCAAAAGTTGCTCTCATCAGAAAAGAGGTCTTTGGACCACTGAGCAACAGACCAGGTCTGTTTTTCTTTAGCCCAGGTAAGACGCTTCTGACGTTTGTTTGTTCAGGAGCGGCTTGACAAGAGAAATACGACATTTGAAGCCCATGTCCAGGATCCATCTGTGTGTGGTGGCTCTTGATGCACTGACTCCAGCCTCAGTCCACTCCTTGTGAAAGTCCCCAACACTTTTGAATAGCGTTTTCCCGACAATCCTCTCCAGGCTGCGGTCATCCCTGCTGCTTGTGCACCTTTTTCTTCCACACTTTTCCCTTCCACATAACTTTCTATTAATGTGCTTTGATACAGCACTTTGGGAACATCCAACTTCTTTTGTAATTCCCTTTTGAGGCTTTCCCTCCTTATGGAGGGTGTCAGTGATGGTGTCAGGTCAGCAGTCTTTCCCATGATTGTGATTCCTACTGAACCAGACTGAGAGACCATTTAAAGGCTCAGGAACCCTTTGCAGGTGTTATGGCTTAATTAGCTGATTAGAGTGGGACACTTTGAGCCGAGAATATTCCACCTTTTCACAATATTCTCATTTTCTGAGATTGTGGATTTGGGGTTTTCATGAGCTGTAAGCCATAATCATCACAATGATGACAAATCACGGCTTGAACTATCTTGTAATGAGTCTATCTCAGGGGTGGGCAAACTTTTTGACTTGAGGGCCGCAATGGGTTCATATATTGGACTCGGGGGCCGGACCAAGAGTAGATGAATGATGTGTATGTGTCATCCATAGTAAGTATAGTAATATTCCCCCATAGTAAGCATAGTAATTCATCATCCCCATATAGTAATTCATCCCCCATATAGTAATTCATCCCCCATATAGTAATTCATCCCCCATATAGTAATTCATTCCCATATTAATAATTCATCCCTCATAGTATTTCATCCCCCACAGTACTATTCCCCCCCAAGTAGTAAGCCAAGTCCCCCCTGTGTCAATTCACTTACCTTTGCTCCGCGCGTTCCTCTCGCCCTGTTCCCGCGCCGTTCCGGTCTTCAGGGCGGACTGTGAGAGGAGCCTAGCTCCCCTCCCCTCACGTTCGTCACGCTGCCCCGCCTACACACATCCTGACAGCCACATCCGCGGGCCGGATTAAAAGGTCCGCCGGGCCGTAGTTTGCCCATTGCTGGTCTATCTCATATATTAGTTTCACCTTTTAAACTGTATTACTGAAATAAATGAACTTTTGCACGATTTTCTAATTTTTTTAGTTTCACCTGTATAACTATGATCTTTTAAACTGCAAAATGTTTTTTCATGACTTATTGTTATAATAAGGTACAAATGATTTTACTAATATGTGTTTGAAATTTCTGTGCCTCTAAAGTCCATTTGGAGCCTCTCCCCGCCCTTTTCCCTTTAATTGTTTGACTAGTATAATTAGGACGTGGTACCCAAATATTACTTCAGTTCTGGAAGTGATCTGGCACCCGGATACACTCCAACTTCCTTTTGCGTTCACCTTAATGAAAGGAATAAAGAGTATGCAAGGCTCCTGGTAGAAACAAAAATACATTTCCATGGCTTTTTCATCACAGCAAAATAATGCAAAGAGCTAGGTTACTTTTATTTGGCTCAATTCATAGATCCTTGTTTCTTGTCATTCTCCCTTTCTTCCCCTTTCATTGTGCTACATTCTATTCCTGCTGAAAGTGAACGAAGAGATTTGAGGATAGGGGAGTACACATACACACAGCAAAACAAGACAACGCTGAGTAAAGCACACATCACTGAATGTAATGGGAGCCCTTTGAAGTTTCCTGGTTTAGATGATGTCTGTAAGCCTTTAAATAACCTGACATCACAAGTTTGTCATACCTGTACTCCGTGTATGTGTACATGATCTGCCTCCTGTATTAATAAAGCCGCTTCCTATTTCAGGTCAGTAAAATCAGTTTGGTAGATTTGGCTGGGAGTGAAAGAGCCGATTCCACAGGAGCAAAAGGAACGCGGCTAAAAGTGAGTACGAATGTTAACCTAGTCTGCGAGTGATAACATTTCTGCCGGTAGGCTCGGCTCACACGTTTACCTTGCCTGAACCCTTGCATTGGTGCGATGGGATGCTTTTCATTCTAAATGGCACCCCAATGCACCTTATTGATGGATGTGGTGAATTGCTGTGCTACACCGCCAGAAAAGATGCATGTTTCTTTTCTGGGTTGTTGAGGTGGATTGCCAGCCCATTCATTGGGAGTTGTCTGCAGTGCACTTTATTGCTCAAAAAAAATGCACATTATTGCGCTTGCGTTATTACAATGCACCTCAGCAAAAATATGTGAACCTAGCCTTAAACAGGCCATAGAATATGCAGCTTTCTTTCCTTCCACTATGGGTGGAAGGAAAGAAAATCACTTGATTCATTGAACAGGGACTGTGTTGATGGGGGAATCTCTCCCACAGAGCTATTGTGTTCTGCCTGCAGGGAGCCTTCCTGGCTGGTAAAACACAATCATTATTTCTAGTGGCTATAGCTGCCGACTGTAATCTCATGTAAAGAAAATCCAACAGGCTGGTTCTACCCAAGTTGACCGATGGATCAGCTTTGGTACAACCAGCCTGCCCATAGATGGATGGAATCTCAGCTGGTCCCTGATGACCTGGTTATGATTTGATCCATCTATGACCGGCCTTTAGTGTTTCCAGAACTTTTCATCTGCATCCAAATTGGTACTTTTTTATTCTTGTAGATAAATTTTGTTGCAATATGCAGAGAAAACGAAGTATTTGTCATAGCCAGTGTTATCTTTGGATCCTTAGCGTCTACCCCATCACATCATGGATGTATTAGCGTCTACCCCTTCACATCCCGGATGTATTAGCGTCTACCCCATCACATCCCGGATGTATTAGCGTCTACCCCTTCACATCCTGGATGTATTAGCGTCTACCCCATCACTTCCTGGATGTATTAGCGTCTACCCCATCACATCATGGATGTATTAGCGTCTACCCCTTCACATCCTGGATGTATTAGCGTCTACCCCTTCACTTCCTGGATGTATTAGCGTCTACCCCTTCACATCCCGGATGTATTAGCGTCTACCCCTTCACATCCTGGATGTATTAGCGTCTACCCCATCACATCCTGGATGTATTAGCGTCTACCCCATCACATCCTGGATGTATTAGCGTCTACCCCTTCACATCCCGGATGTATTAGCGTCTACCCCATCACATCCCGGATGTATTAGCGTCTACCCCATCACATCCTGGATGTATTAGCGTCTACCCCATCACATCCTGGATGTATTAGCGTCTACCCCATCACATCCTGGATGTATTAGCGTCTACCCCTTCACATCCTGGATGTATTAGCGTCTACCCCTTCACATCCTGGATGTATTAGCGTCTACCCCTTCACATCCTGGATGTATTAGCGTCTACCCCTTCACATCCTGGATGTATTAGCGTCTACCCCTTCACATCCTGGATGTATTAGCGTCTACCCCTTCACATCCTGGATGTATTAGCGTCTACCCCTTCACATCCTGGATGTATTAGCGTCTACCCCATCACTTCCTGGATGTATTAGCGTCTACCCCATCACATCCCGGATGTATTAGCGTCTACCCCATCACATCCCGGATGTATTAGCGTCTACCCCATCACATCCCGGATGTATTAGCGTCTACCCCATCACATCCCGGATGTATTAGCGTCTACCCCATCACATCCCGGATGTATTAGCGTCTACCCCATCACATCCCGGATGTATTAGCGTCTACCCCATCACATCCCGGATGTATTAGCGTCTACCCCATCACATCCTGGATGTATTAGCGTCTACCCCATCACATCCTGGATGTATTAGCGTCTACCCCTTCACATCCTGGATGTATTAGCGTCTACCCCTTCACATCCTGGATGTATTAGCGTCTACCCCTTCACATCCTGGATGTATTAGCGTCTACCCCTTCACATCCTGGATGTATTAGCGTCTACCCCATCACATCCCGGATGTATCAGCGTCTACCCCATCACATCCGGATGTATTAGCGTCTACCCCATCACATCCCGGATGTATTAGCGTCTACCCCATCACATCCCGGATGTATTAGCGTCTACCCCATCACATCCTGGATGTATTAGCGTCTACCCCATCACATCCTGGATGTATTAGCGTCTACCCCATCACATCCTGGATGTATTAGCGTCTACCCCATCACATCCTGGATGTATTAGCGTCTACCCCATCACATCCTGGATGTATTAAAACTATTTTGTGTTCTCGTCTCATTGTCAGTGTTCAGTGTTAGTAAAGGAATGCATCATAATTATCATTTTGTATTGTCATCTAAGCAGACTGTTTTTTGTTTTTTTTGCAGGAAGGTGCTAATATCAACAAATCTCTGACCACTCTGGGGAAAGTCATCTCTGCTTTGGCAGAAGTGGTAAGTTCTTTGTCAGAAGACAGTCATTATGTTTGTTAGACTTAGCAGACAACCCGCACTTATTGTTCTCAGGGGAAAAGTTAGACAGCCTTTTGGATTAACTATTTCCATTTGCTTTTGCTCCCTCAAGGACAATTTAGAAGGTTTTCTGCTCCATGCACACACATGAACATTCAGATCATACGGGCTTATATTCAGTATATGGCAGAATGTTTGTGGACATCCAACTGGCACGCCTACTGTATGTCCAAAATAATGTGGACACCTCTCCAAAGGAGTTCATGTGTTTCTAGTGAAGGGTACTGTTAATATTATTATTATTATACAGGATTTAAATGGGGCCAGCAATTTGCTCAGCGCTGTACAAAATAATGGGAGAGAATACAGCAACAATACAGTTCAATACAAGAGGGATAGGAGGGCCCTGATCCTGGGAGCTTACAATCTAAGATAATACAGCATACAAAGATATTTCAGACAGGTGTGCACTTACAATCATGTGGTGACAGTTTGGGGAAAGTCTTTTTCTATTTTAGCATGACTGTATAAAGCCAGCTCCATAAAGGCATGGCATGAGCAGTTTGATGTGAAGGAACTCAGATGTCCTGCACAGAACCCTGACCCCAACCCTACTGAGCACATTTGAAATCTATTGGAACTCTGACTGTGGGCCAGGTCTTCTTCTCATCTAACATCAGTACCTTACCTCACAAATGTCCTTTTGGCTGAATGTGGCACACCCTCCAAAATATGATGAAAAACCTTCCCAAACGTGTGGAGGCTGCTATATGCATAAAGGGGCAGCAACTCCTCATGATTTTGGAATGGGATGTTTAACAAACTCACACAGGTGTAATGATCAGGTGTCCTGAACTGTCACTTTAAATGGGCACCCAGAGCCACTAGATGGGACTCCTGATCCTGTCACTTTGATTGGATGCACAGTGCTGATGTCATCAGGAGCTTTGCCTGTCAGCTCCTGATTGTCAGTAGTTGACCAAAAGTTGTCGGTAATGGCAACAGTTTTTTATGGGGGGTTGCAATTACACTTCAGATGTGCAGCATATGACATATGTGAGTTGGGGGGTTTGCATTGCTTGTAGCTGAGGTCCAATACTAAATATTAGACACAGATATAAGTCCAATATGTTGTCCATTGCTACTAATTATAAATGAACTTACTTTTTATTTCTAATCCAAAAGAGTTTTTATTAATATTGAAAGGACATAAAATAACGTGATTGCTGAACAAGCCATGTACCTATGTTGTACATGTTCAGTCAGATAAAGAGATAAGACAAGGTCTCTGCAATTTAGCTTTCACAGAAATAGTATTACAAAAAATGAACCTTAATTAATAAAATAACGTTTGGATAATAAACTTCTCAGGAGCACCCCACAGTGGCCCATTTTTTTTTTTTTTAGTGCATCTTTTTTTGTTTTTCAAAACTTTTTTTTCTGTGTTTTAACAAAAGCTAAACAAGGTTCACACCATCAAGTTGTTGCATACAAAACATACACAACATAGAACACAGGGACAATGACATAACCAGACAATAGTAGTAGACTAAGCAGGGCCCATTTGTAACTCCTAACATTTTGAGTAACAATTATAAATCAACCCCAATTAAACTAACCACCCAACTTTGTAAAAGTTTCTCAAAGTGGTTGTTATCCCTTGCATAAAGTGCCTTGCAAAAGTATTCATACCCCTTGAAAGTTTCCACATTTTGTCATGTTACATCCAAAAACATGAACGTATTTTATTGGGATTTTATGTGATAGACCAACATAAAGTGGCTCATTGTGAAGTGGAAGGAAAATGATAAATGGTTTTCAAAATTGTTTACAAATATCTGATAAGTGTGGCGTGCATTTGTATTCAGCCCCCTTTTCTCTTGATAGCCCTAACTAAAATCTAGTGGAACCAATTGCCTTCAGAAGTCACCTAATTAGTAAATAGAGTCCACCTGTGTGTAATTTAATCTCAGTATAAATACAACTGTTCTGTGAAGCCCTCAGAGGTTTGTTAGAGAACATTAGTGAACAAACAGCATCATGAAGGTCAAGGAACACACCAGACAGGTCAGGGATAAAGTTGAGAAGTTTAAAGCAGCGTTAAGTTATAAAAATAAAAAAAAATCCCAAGCTTTGAACATCTCACGGAGCACTGTTCAATCCATCACCCGAAAATGGAAAGAGTATGGCACAACTGCAAACCTACCAAGACACAGCCATCCACCTAAACTGACAAGTCGGGCAAGGAGAGCATTCATCAGAGAAGCAGCCAAGAGGCCCATGGGAACTCTGGAGGAGCTGCAGAGATCCACAGCTCAGGTGGGAGAATCTGTCCACAGGACAACTATCCACAAATCTGGCCTTTATGGACAAGTGGCAAGAAGAAAGCCATTGTTGAAAGAAAGCCATAAGAAGTCCCATTTGCAGTTTGGGAGAAGCCAAGTGGGGGGGACAGCAAACATGTGGAAGAAGGGGCTCTGGTCAGATGAGACCAAAATTGAGTTCACTCTCTAGATTTGCAAAGCTGGTAGAGACATCCCGAGAAATACTTGCGGCTGGAAATGATTTGAAAGGAGATTCTACAAAGTATTGACTCCGGGGGGCTGAATACAAATGCACGCCACACTTTTCACAGATTTATTTGTAAAAAAAAGTTTGAAAACCATTTATCCTTTCACTTCACAATTATGTGCCACTTTGTGTTGGTCTATCATATAAAATTCCAATAAAATAATTTACATTTTTGGTTGTAACATGAGAAAATGTGGAAAATTTCAAGGGATATGAAGACTTTTTCAAGGCACTGTATCTAAGAGGGAATATCCCCATCACTTTATGTCTCAGAAAAATATTAAGAGGCAATCTCCCAAACGAGACAAAGACAGTACAAACCTTTTAATCATTCCATTTCAAACATTACAAAGTTTTTGGTTATAGATGCACTTTATATTTTAGTCCTGGGGCCAATTTAGTACCATTATCATAACGATAAAGTGACAGTAACATTTCCGGTATTAAATCTAGACGTATCAACAGACAGTATGAAAAATGGAATAGTCAGGATTGCCATTAGTCTGTTCTTAATCTGGTATAATAAATTCATCATTGTTTTTATGTTGAGGCTTCCAGGCTTTTAATATATGAAAGCTTCTGAATGTGTTGTGATCTATACATGATGCGTTTGGGTGAGTGCTCTTGTGATGTTTTATATTTTTATTTTCATTCATGCTGTCCTTTCAGGATAACTGCACCAGCAAGGTAGGTCTTCCTGGTGGTGTATACCTTCAAGCTTTTAGTAAACGGCAGCATGGGCTGTATTTGTACTTTCTAGACCTGTTTAGTTGCTGATGGTCATTTTTGGCTTTGCCATCTCTCCCTCCCCCCTAATGGTTCTGTTGGACACCTACTGTATATTAATGGTTGACAATTCCAAAATTGTCCCTGACGCCTGTGGGCACTGGCACTTCCTTTCCTCCCGGTAGCATCTTATATTCTCGCTAGAGATGTGCATGATGGAAAAGTGTTTCATTTAGTTTCGGATTAATTTGTTAAAGCGGAGCTCCACTCAAAAGGGGAAGTTCCACTTTAAGGACTGCTCCGACACTTCCCGTTAAGGATTGGCACATTTGGGGGGGCGGGTACACAAATTTGACAGGTACCCGCTCCCACTTCCGGTCCGATCACCTAGGCCAGGGGTAGGCAACCTGAGAGCCGCGAGGCTACAAGTTCCATCATGCCTCTGCAAGTCATAGCTGTAACTGTCAGTGTTGTAATCTTTGCAATGCCTCATGGGAAATGTAGTTCCACAACAGCTAGAGAGCCGCAGGTTGTCTACCCCTGACCTAGGCGATCAGAAGCGGAAGGTGTCCTCCCTCCCTGTAGTCTTTTGGGACACGTGACAGGTCCCAGAAGACTACAGGACCATTCATGAAGTGCAGCGCTACTCGCGCATGCGCAGTGGGCACCCGGCTCTGCAGCCGCAAGCTGTCACAGCCGGGTGCCCACACTGAAGATGCCGGCCTTCAGGAATACAGGACGGCTGGTGAAACGGGCTGCGGGGGACACACCACGGGACCGAGGGACAGGTAAGTGGCTGTTTTTAAAAAGTCAGCAGCTACAGTTTTTGTAGTTGCTGACTTATATTTTTTTGACAGGTGAGTGGAACTCCGCTTTAAGTCAATCATTTTCTTTCATAATATTTGCGATGTTTGAATGTTTCGTTTATGGAATTTATTTCATATATTCGGATTTGTTTTGTATATTCGTTGTTTGGAATTGATTCGTATTTTCAAACGTTATTTCAGAAGATTGGCTATATTCCTTTTAATGTGGTAATTCATTATTTTGGAAGATTACTTATGCACTCTGTGTCATCCGTGCTACTCCAACCCACAAAGAGAAATGGAGCGAACTGTTGGATGGTAATGACCGAAGTCCCGTGCAAGTGACAGTAATGATTGGAACAAAATTAATTTCAGATTTATTCCTTATGTTATGATTTGGAAATTCGGATGGATTTGCTTCCATCCAACCCAAACACAATAAGTAGGAATCATCTTATTTCACTTTTATACCTTACTGCAGGGGTGTCAAACTCCATTTCATCGTGGGTCATATCTGCATTATGGTTGCCCTCAAAGGGCCAGTTGTGTCTGTAAGACTAGATGTCCAGAGCACCCCCCCCCCATTACATCAGATGTCAAAAATCCCACACCCTCCCTAACATCACCGTGCACCTCCTTTGGGGGCAGAGCTGGAAAGCTGAAAGTGCAGGGTCTGGAGGAGCACCAGAGGAGTGAAGTCAGTTACCAGAGTCTGCTGAATGCTGAGAACAGAGGAGGCAGTGATGAGGGGGTTCCGCAGCTGCACCGAGAGGTGCAGATTTGGCAGAGGAGTTCTATTCTCCTCTCTGCTGTCGAATGCTGAGACAAGGTGGGGCGGAGACAAGGAGAGGTACCTGCAGGAGAGGTGCAAAGGCCACATGAACTTGCCTGGAGGGCCAGATTCGGCCCACGGGCCTTGTGTTTTACACCTGTGCCTTACTGTATTAAATGCGGTAAAGTGTAAAAGTGAAATATGATGATATTGATTCCTACTTATTCTGTTTGGGTTGGATAGATGTGGATCCATCCGAATCTCCAAAGCATTACATAAGGAATGAATCCGAAATCAATCTCGTTTCATTTGTTACTCTCAGATGCATGCGGCTCCAGTCAATATTGTCCAATTACAGTGTATTTATTGAAATATCTTTCCACTTCATATGTAGCACATTTTTTATAGTAATGAAAAATGTTTATGCAAAAAGAATCGACTTATTATCCAAGAGTCAAAACCTACTGTGCCGCTCTCATCCTAAAAGGAATACGATCCGAATCAGTTTGGATCATTCGTTATGTTGTTACATTTATTTTGGATGCTTCAAACAATAGGCCCAAAGTATCTTATTATGTCATCCACACAAATTTTTTGTTTTTGTTATAATGTTTTTCAGATTAGTTGTTATTGCGATTTGGAGATTCAGATACATCCGAATCTCAAAATAACGAACATTTTGTGTGCATTTCGATTCGTAACGAAACGAATCGCACATAGCTAAGCCTTGCTCCGGCATCTATCACGCAAACGCTAGCTGTCAGAGGTGACATGAGATTATGCAATACAGCATTCTAAACTCACACTCTGCTACGTTACCCTAAAAAATGACATTTATTATTTAGGGTGCTCCGACGAATGTGTGCAACTAGCTAGGAAATTGCATTTCAGACACTGTTATGTCACTTGCAGCTTCCGTTAGTACAAAATCTAGAATTGGGATGATTTAGCTGCCCAGGTATAAAAGGCATAAAACATTCCATTTCTTCCTATTAGTCATCTGATTCTTTGTTATTCATTACTCGCTGGAAGTCATAATGCTCAACCTCTGCTCTCTGTCTAAACAGATGAGAAGTAATAGTTCATTACATTTTTGTATTTTTGTAGAGTAAAAAGAAGAAGAAGACGGATTTCATTCCCTACCGAGATTCTGTGCTTACCTGGCTGCTGCGGGAAAATTTGGGTACGTTGTTTGTTTAGCGGTGGGTTATGGTTGAAGCATGCCTGTCGATGGTCTAAAGTTATTTATCTGGCCACTGGACTAAGATGGGGACACCCAAAGACCCACAAATCATGAGGTGTGCCAGTATGCAAATGTTGACTTCTCCCAAGAATATTGATGGTTAGTTCACTCTTCAACGTCTCCCTATTTGCCCATTGCTATAATCAACACCATATATGAAGTAGAAGGGAAAGAAGTGTCAAATTATGAATATTGGACCACATCATTGTAACGGAACTGACCCCAGACTGCGCTTGGGTACTTCCGTTAGACTACCGCTTCCCTGTCCGAACACCAACAACAGACGCCACAGCAGACCATACAAGACTAGTTTATTTAAACACAGATACAAGATATATACATCAAGGGGACAATCCCCCCTCCCTGCATAATGACACAGGGCAGGGGGCAATCTACATTTAGTAACAAAAGACACAGCAACAGACAGTCCCATCAGGAGGGAGAGCTGCTGGAGACACCCCCCCCCCCACCAAGCCAATGCACATAAACACATACATCCCATAATAGTTTGCTCCCAAGCCAGACACACATTTTAACAATGGGATGCAACAACCCCCCACCCCAATATTAGGACAGATCACCCTGTACCCCTAACAGGCATAGGGTGATTTACACATAAAGAGGGATATGGGGGAGCTGAGACAGGGGTCTCCCCACCTCTCCAAAGTGAGCTGGGTTCCATGGGTCCCCCGCCAAAAGTGACTCCCGTCACAATCATGATTTCTGGATCCCTGGGCAGTTTTATAGTAAGCATATGGTAAACAGCAGCAGACCATTCGGATAATATATAGGCAGTTGAGGTTGTAGGCAAATCTTGATTTTTCTGGCTCTTCTCTTTCCCACGTCTCTTTCACCACACTCCCATTTTGGACAGGGCTGAATGTAGGGGCTGCTGGCGTCGGCTGTGACCCTCATTTTTTGGTCTTGCCCCCTATTTTTTTGGTCTTGCCCCCCCCAGGACTAGTGGCATCAGCAGGGGGGACCCTATAATGGGACACTAAAGCCCAGCCAACGCAGTGCACCTAGCCACAAGGATAAAATGAAAGTATGTTGATACTCTGAACCCACAGATCAGGTAGGCTAGTTCTGGCCTGGATTATGGACCTTTATTGCCTCACTTGAAAGAGGTTATTTCTGCTGCTCAGTGTCATAGAAACAAAAGGAAAGTATATCTCTATCCAAAACTTTTTTTTGTTAGGTTTGGCTAGAATAGGGAACAGTTAAAACCCTGGTGAGGTTTGTTTGTTTGCTTTGTGGTTTCCATTTTGGTTTTTGCGATACATTTCTTGCCCCAGAGATACAACAGGATGTGAAAGGAAATCTCTCCTAACATGAGGTGACATTCTTTCTGGGACAGGTGTCACCAGCTCAAGTGAACCCATTGGATTTTCAGGCGAGGCCTTCCGTCGCAATAAAAGTTCCAAAATGGAGTCTCGAGAGGTGGTAGAGCCAGAAAAATCAATATTTGCATATTACTTTACCTATTTTGGTGACAGCTTTAAAAATTTGGTGTTGCTCATCAATGTCGATCCTGGTGACAATTGTCACCAGGACAGATAGGAAGCGAATCAACCCAGTGTGGACAGAGATGGTAGTAAAAAAAAAAAAAAAAAAAAAACTTAATGGGTTCTGTTTGTTATTTTATAAAAGAAAAAAAGTACATAGATAAATGTAATATCCATTGTAAGGCAAGGTTCACATCTGCACGGGTCATTGTGGCTGCGGGACCGCACCTGTTCCTGCATCCGCACTCTCCCGCACAGAAAAACGCACATAATCCTAAAGTCATGCAGCACGCAGTGGTAGTCGCTCCTGCACTGAGAACCGCACTGCCTCTGGATGCAGCTTGCACTCATGCTATCTTTGCATGCAGGGGCAGACTGACAACTCATGGGGCCCCTGTTTCCTTGCCCACACTCAAAGCACTATTCTTATGGATGGGCAGTTACATGCAAACAGCGGCATCATTGCCCATTATTTGTACCGGGTACAAATCTGACAACCGCCGCTGTTCTCATAGACCGTGTGTGCGCAGTGCGTAACTCCTCTGTCAAGAATTCTTTTGGTCGGCTGCTTGTGTGAATGTAGCCTATGGATTCTTTATCCCCTAGACGCCGAGTGCACATAAATATGCGGCATCTAGGCCTTGACTCCGAGCGGCCGCATATTTGTTTACCATTTGAAAATACATATGTGCTGAAAGTGTGCGCTCCCAGCAGGGATGGACTGACCATTCGAGCACTCGGCACTGCCCGAGGGCCCGGAGTCAGTAGGGGGCCCCATGAAATTCCCCTGGTAGCTTTTTTATAGGCCTTTTTGGGTATGCTTTGAGTGTGGGCAAGTACACGGGTCCCATGATCCCCTATTGCCCGGGGGCCCCATGAGTTGTCAGTCCGCCCCTGGCTCCCAGCACATATGTCCATGACTCACGGAAAAGTCCCGATCTCCCCTTGCGATCGGGACCTTTTCCGATCATGTGAAGGCAAATCACGGCGGTCACATGACCCTAAAACCCCGGCCCGCCTCCTGGTTTCTGAAACCTCTTACAGGGCTGGGAGGCGCCGGCGCAAAGGGGCAGCACAGTGGTTAAAGTGTTTAGCACCTCCGCCTAGCAGTACTAGGGTGATCGGTTCCAACCTGCAACCACGACACTACCTGCCTGGAGTTATCATGTTCTCCCTGTGCCTGCGTGGGTTTCCTCTAGGGACTGTGGTTTCCTCCTACACTCCAAAGACATGCTGGTAGGTTAATTGGCTCCTGTCTAAATTGGCCCTAGTATGTGTATGTATGAATGTGAGTTAGGGACCTTAAGTTGTACGCCCCTTGAGGGTTAGGGACTGACGTGAATGTACAATATATATATATGTGTAAAGCGCTGCGTAAATTGATGGCGCTATATAAGTAAAGCCCAGCCACTAGTGCAGTGTTCTCCTTGGAGACTGATTCTCATCTATGGAGGGTAGTGGATTACCTGATGATATATGGAAGAAGGTTCGAAAGGAAGAAAGCAGTTAAGTTCCTGTAGGCATGTGCAGAAGCCACGAGAACTCCATAGTCACAAAACTTTTTTTTTTTTCAGGTGGAAACTCCCGTACTGCTATGGTGGCCGCTCTGAGTCCAGCTGATATCAACTATGATGAAACACTCAGTACACTAAGGTGAAAAAGTGACCTGAAATATATGCGCAAAATGATATATACTGTTTGAATTTCTGTACCCATACATCAGGGCTTGGAATTTCACCTTGCCTGCTAGCATTTGGTGTGTCCCAGCGCCACATCGGAGGAGGGGGGGGGGGGGGGGCGGGTGGTACCAGCAGCGCCAACCTGCCCCGAGCACTGTGTTGAGGGGGGAGCGTACTGCTGGTGCCGCTCCTCAGTGACTGGAGTGATCACAGTTTAACTCCTGTCACAGGGAGCAGCTGCTGACATTTGCTGGAGGGAGGACTAGGCTTTCTTCTTCCTCCTGCCTGCAGGGGGCAATAGACAGCCGGCACTAAGGAGAGAAGGCAGAGTGTCCTTCCCTCTCTCCCCTTGTCACATGACCGAAGAAGGGAAAGCAGGATAAGTTGCATTCACAAGAAAATCTGTGAGTACAAGGGGGAAGGGTGAGGTTACACTTACGGGGACACCTGATTAAAGGGGCGCTCTGATGGGAACACCTTATATAAAGGGGGACTCTGATAGGGAACAACTGATGTAAAGTGGGACACCTGATGGGGACACCTGATGTAAAGGGGGACGCCTGATGTAAAGGGGGACTCTGATGGGGACTGCCTGATGTAAAGGGGGACTCTGATGGGGACACCTGATGTAAAGGGGGACGCCTGATGTAAAGGGGGACTCTGATGGGGGGACGCCTGATGTAAAGGGGGACTCTGATGGGGACACCTGATGTAAAGGGGGACTCTGATGGGGACACTGATGTAAAGGTGGACTCTGATGGGGACGCCTGATGTAAAGGGGGGCTCTGATGGGGACACCTGATGTAAAGGGGGACTCTGATGGGGACACCTGATGTAAAGTGGGAATTTGATGGGAACACCTGATGTAAAGGGGGACTCTGATGGGGAATTTTATGTTTACATTGTTTTATGTTAACCACTTTCCCTCTAGACTCTATTAAGTTATTGCTGTTATGTTTAAATTGACATAATAAAGCTATGTTATAATTTCTGTTTTTTATATTTTGGACTCTTTTTTTTCTAAAGAAAACTTTAATATAAGGGGGCGTGGTTGGGGGCGGGCTGGGGGAGGGCCTGGGGTGGGGTTGGGAGGCGGACCTGGGCAAGGTTTGGTGGGGCAACTGGTGGAGAGTAAGGTTTTTGCCTGGATAATAGGTCTAGACCAGGGGCGGACTGACCATTTGGAAAGTCAGGCACTGCCCAAGGGCCCGGGGTCAGCAGGGGGCCCCATGAGATGCCCCTGGTACCTTTTTCATGGGCTTTTTTGAGTTTGGGCAAGGACACAGGGGCCCCATGATCCCCTATTGCCCAGGGGCCCCATGAGTTGTCAGTCCGCCCCTGGTCTAGACTTGAAATTGTAAGCCCTAACATACATATTCAGTTGTATGTTGAGTTTTTTTTTTGCTTGTGTACTTAATGTGAACATCTTTAATGTTGTCCTCAGATACGCAGATCGTGCTAAACAGATCAAATGTAACGCTATTATCAATGAAGATCCCAACGCTAAACTGGTGCGCGAGCTGAAGGATGAAGTTGCACGTTTGAAGGAACTGTTGAGGGCACAGGGCCTGGGCGATATCATCGACAGTAAGTGGCATTTGTTTCATGCAACTGTATTTGATGCAGCGCTCTGCGACTTTAGATCTATGATCCAGAGATGGTTTTATTTAATGCGTTTTATTTTTTTTGTTTTTTTTTTATCATTGCAGTTTTTATTAGATACTATGAATATGATTAATGCATGATAAATTAGAAGAAAGTATATAATGACAGTCAAGGGAGGGGAGGATTAGGGACTGGGGAGCTCTCCCGGACTTCTCAAGTCCTCCTGGGGTGTGTCGAAGTGCTTTGATGTGGTTGTTTTAATAGTTGTTGGCTTCTTTGTAAAAGATATAATAGTCTCTTGTTTTCCGTGAAAGGTAAATCATTCCCAGTTGCCTTTTTTTTTTTTCCCCTAGAATTTTTTTATTTTTAAAATGCTAATGCTTACAGCAGAGAAGACAGAGATATGGGGTTTTTTTTCTGTTGTAAATCCTATACAGATGCATTTTGTTGGCTAGTTTGTAGTTTTTCAATACAACTGCAAATCAAGTCATCCTTTGGTGTGTTATGCCGGCCATACATGAGTCGGAATTCGACCGGTTTTTCATCCGGACCTAAGAATAATCGGCAGATTTTCTGTTAGGATCCGCCAGGTGGTGCCTAAGGCTGCCCACTGGACAGACCTACCCAGAGCGTGGAGTCTAAGCCCGTTCTGTGCTTTCACCAGGGCCCCTGATGGTGGGGATGGACTTGTAACAGACCAGGGCCAGGTCACAACCTCCGAGCAGGCCCACCAGTGGCAGAGGGAGCCTCCGGGGATGTATGCAGGTACTGGGAGAGCCAGATGTGAAGAGGACGGCGGGACCTAGCAGGATGGTCACGAGCTGTGGTCCCGTGGGGTAAGCGAGGTACCGAATCGGCAGGCGAAGAGTAGTCAGGTCACACGCAGGGTCAGCAGGATAAGTCAGTCCGCAGAATGGTCAGACAAGCCGGGGGTCAGGATAGGTGAAGGCAGCGTAGTCAGGGCAATCCGGGTCAAATCACAGGAGAAGGCAGGTAGTCAGGGCAAAGGGTCAAATCACAGGAGAAGGCAGCGTAGTCAGGGCAATCAGGGTCACTAAACAGGTACAGGAACTCAGGATCACAGATAGACCTTGCGGCAATCTGTAACAGTGCAGGGCATCTTTAAATAGTGCGCCCTGCACTGTCATTGGCCGGCCAGGACGCGCCCCCGGGCTGTCATTGGCCGCTTGAGGCGCGCCCGCGGCTCCTACTGCGCATGCACGGCGTCCTGTCAGCCGCGGCTCGCCGGGACCTAGTGCCTGTGTCCCGGCGTGATCTGCCGCCAGTGCGCGTGCGCCGGGAGAGGAGCCGCGATCCCTGACATTTTCGCTGTGTTAATGGGTCAATGGCACCGGACGATTTTCGTTGTTCCTCTCCTTTTCGGTGATCGGGCATGTTGGAAAATTCGTGAAAAAAGACCGATTTTCGACTCGGTCAAATCGTATTTTCCAAAAAAGAATATGCGCATGAGAAATGAGCTGGAAGGAACAGAAGTTTTGCCTGTTATATGGGGTGAACTTTATGACTTGGTCGGCCGATTTTCGAAATCATTGATGGCACCATCAGATTACCGAGCGAACAACGTTTTTGATTTTCAGACAAAAAATTGTTTGGAATTTGACCCATGTATGGCCTGCATTAGAGTTAAGTGACTTCTGTGAGTTACAGCATCTCTTGTTACTTTGCCACAGAGCATGTGCAGCAGCTTTAGAGAGCACAGATGGAAAAGGTTTCATGGAGGGCATTGAGCACTGGTCGTGGGCCAGTAAAGTTGTTGAATAAAACAAAATAAATCCAACCCTTCATGTCTAGCTACAAATTTCATGCTCTCCTATCAGCAGCGTATGTGCAAAAGCTTTAGTGATTTCTAATTAAAGGAAACTTAACTTTGTAAAAATTGCAGGTACACCACGAGTTAAAGTGGTTGTAAAGGCTGAAGGTTTTTTTTTTTTTTTTTGCCTTCATGCATTCTGTGCATGAAGGTACAAAACCTTTTGTGTGCAACTCTCCCTGCAGCCCCCCCCCTAAAACTTGCCTGAGCCTGATCCCTATCCAGCAATGTGCCCGAGAGCCGAGATTTTCCCAGGTTTCTCTCTCCTCATGGGCTAAGACACAGCAGCGAAGCCATTGACTTCCACAGCTGTCAATCACAGCCAGTGAGGAGGCAGCAGGGGGGCGGGACTGAGCCACGCTCTGTGTGTGTCATAGACACACACACAGTCGCTCGGGAGCCAGCACATAAGTACCCCCCAGAGCAAGCAGCTTACTCTGGGGCAGGAGGCAGGGGCCAGAAGTGCTGGTGGGGGACCCAAGAAGAGGAGGATTGGGGCTACTCTGTCAAAACCATTGCACAGAGCAGGCAAGAATGACATTTTTTATTTAAAAAAAAAAAAAAACCTTTATAACCACAAGTGGTTCTAAAGCCTCAAGGTTTTTTCTACCTTAATGCATTAAGAGAATCAACCTGCTGTGTGTAAGATTCCCCTCTAACCCCCCCCCCCCCACTTACCTGAACCCCATTGCGATCTAGCGTTGTGTGCATGAGAGCAGCAGCTCTCTCTGCTCTGTCCTTCCGCATATGGCAGATCCATAGCAGCGGGAGTCGTAGGCTCTCGCTTCTGTCAGTCAGATTCTGTGATGAGGGAGTGTGCTGCGCGTTGTGTCTGTGTCCATGGATTCAGGCAGCGGGGCTCGGGTCAAGCCCGCACCAGTGTCCCCATAAGAAGCATCTTGCCCTGGGGACACTGGCTAAAAAGGAGGAGCCAGGAGTGCCAGTTGGGCACCCGGGAAAAGGTGGATTGGGGCTACTCTGTGCAAAACCATTACACAGAGCTGGTAAGTATGACATGTTTGTTGTTTTAGTTAAAAAAAACTGATCCTTTACAATCACTTTGAGTCTTAATAACTGCCTGTCACATGGGCTTGTCTCTAACATTTATAATCCAACAGGTTTTTGGCTCTGCCAGAGGACACACTCCAGTCTGTAAGAGAGGAGAGAAGCACAGATAGAAGCTATGCCCGCCCCTCCTCTCTGCTGCCCACTCGCAGAAGCCTTTGGATTTTGTGAATGAGTTCACATAATACAAAGGCTTCTGTGATTGGGCAGGAGGAGGGGAGGTTGCTGCACGACCCTACACAAGAAGGGGCTGTGACAAGCCGAGTCCAGAGTCAGAACCCCAGAAGATATGCTGCTGAAGCACAGTAAACCTGTCACATGTAAATAATAAAAATAAGCCCAAGAGGTGCCAGGCACATCCTTGGACTTGACTCATAGGGGTTTATTTACTAAAGCGGGAGAGTCCAAAATCAGACTCACTTCTGCATAGAAACCAATCAGCTTCCAGGTTTCATTGCCAAAGCTTCATTGAACAAGCTGAGGTTAGAAGCTGATTGGTTTCTATGCAGAAGGGAGTCTGATTTTGGACTCTCCAGCTTTAGTAAATAAACCCCATAGAGTCTTGGAATTCAGATTTAATGAAGAGATTGTGTTTTATTTACACATATACACATATGTTATTTGTGATAGAAGCTAAATGTGTTATTCCAAGTAGTCGTTTATCACTTGTTAGCAGTCAGTCAATTTGCAGAACATTGCAGTGGGCTGCAGATGACGTGACCACCAAGTGGCTAAATCTCACAGTAGCATATATCGACCCATGTAGTCTATTCCTATTGCAAAAAATCCGACCCCAAGTAGTCTGTTCAAAGAGTTTTCATATTTAGCTTTTACAGCCATTATACAAATTCTTTACACAAGAACTCTAGGTGCATCCCACAACATACCCAGAACCCTGCGGGTTGACTCTTTTTTTTCAACACTGAGGAATTTTTTATCAGATCAGAAAGTGTTTGCCAATACTAAACCTTCAACCCGTCTTGTGTTCCCCTCCTCTTGTTCTCTTGCTTTCCGTCAGTCGATTCTATTGAGGACGGTTTTCCTGGAGTGAAATGTGTGTATATCTGTGATCGTTTTTATCTCATCAGCCTCTCAGCTTGAGCCTGGATCCTGCATGTCAGCTTAGGGCGCTTGTAAATCCCAGACAGAACTGTGACATTAATAAAGGTAGTAAATGTGGATTTGTTGTTTCTTAAAAAAAAATACCAATAGACTTATCATGATGGCTTTTCTTCAATCTAAAGGCAGTCTAATCGAGTCCCAAATCCAGTTACGTAATCCAGTCACTACGTGACTCCTGACTGAGTCAAATCCTCCATTTGTGTATCTCATGTCCCCCTCCCAGACACTGCAGCTCACAATGGGAGAGGTTCAGCAACAGAGGCAGTACTGCCAATCAGAGAGAAGTGGGCAGGACTGGGTGTGGCCAAGTGCTGAATGACAGGCTTGTAAATTTGCAGTGACAATGCTGATAGCCACACCCCTTGCAACATATTCTCCTCCCACTGTGGTACAAGCAGGTACAGCCTACATGAGAGTGACAACTCTGCTCTGAATTCAGGAGCAGTGCAGCATCATTGCCACCCTATCGCAGGAAGGCGCATTAGGCAGACTTCTTATGGAGGGTCGACGGGTATTAACGGGACTAAGAGAAAACCATGCATGCAGATTTACTTGTGAATACATTTTATTTTTTAAATGGGAAGCCATCATTCTATTTTAAAGGACCAGTAATCCTTTGAGCTGATCTCCAAGCACAATGTATAATCCAGCACTTCATGCCATCATACACTCACCGGCCACTTTATTAGGTCCACCTGTTCAATTGCTTGGTAACACAAATTGCTAATCAGCCAATCACATGGCAGCATTTAGGCATCTAGATGTGGTGAAGATGACTTGAAGTTCAAACGGAGCATCAGAAAGGGGATCTAAGTGACTTTGAACGTGGCATGGTTGATGCCAGGCGGGCTGGTCTGAGTATTTCAAAAACTGCTGATCTACTGGGATTTCCACACACAACCATCTCTAAGGAAACCAAGATTCATCAGACCAGGCAACATTTTTCCAATCTTCTATTGTCCAATTTTGGTGAGCCTGTGCGAATGGTAGCCTGTTCTTAGTTGACAGGAGTGGCACCCGGTATGGTCTGCTGCTGTAGCCCATCTATTTCAAGGTTCGATGTGTTGTGTGTGTTCAGACATGGTATTCTGCATACTTTGGCTGTACCGAGTGGTTATTTGAGTTACTGTTGCTTTTTTATCATCTGGAACCAGTCTGCCCATTCTCCTCTAACATCAACAAGGTATTTTCCTCCACACAACTGGATATTTTCTCTTTTTCGGACCATTCTCTGTAAACCCGAGAGATGGTTGTGCAAGAAAATCCCAGTAGATCAGCAGTTTTTGAAATACTCAGACCAGCCCTCTGGCATCAACAACCATGCTACGTTCAAAGTCACTTAAATCCCCTTTCTTTCCCCATTCTGGTGCTCGGTTTGAACTTCAGCAAGTCGTTTTCACCACGTCTAAATGCCTAAATGCATTGAATTGCTGCTATGTGATTGGCTGATTAGCAATTTGTGTTACCAAGCAATTGAACAGGCGTACCTAATACAGTGTCCGGTGAGTGTATGCCTAGTAAACAAATATTAAACTAGTTTGATATGCACCTTGTGTAAGTCCCAATATATAACTTGGTAACCCTGCACAACACAGCAGCACCCAGACTGGGAGAGGGAGGGCCATCGGTATGAGCCAGTTGTGCTTTGCTGACAGATTACTGGAAGTAGAATAAAGCACAGTGAAAAGAGTCAATGATTTGGCAGTGTGCAGCTGCTCTGTCTTTGTCCAGTCACAGGCTGGGGTGTGGAGGTGACCAGGCCTTGATGCTTAAAGCAGAACTAAAGGCGAAAATACTTACCTTGCTTCCAAAGGTCTCTCAGTGGCATCAGCATCTTCTCTCCAGCTTTCTTTGGGTTTCAGTCTTTGGCTATCTTGATTGGCTGCTGTGGAATGACATCACACTTGTGCACGTACAGTAAAGCAGCCGTCCCGGGACACAAGCAGTGCGCTGAAATGCGCAGCTCAGTGTACAATTTACAGGGGATTGTGAACAGGCAGGTTAGCGTATTTTATTCCACGACTCTTCTGTAACAAAGAGCCCGCCTGCTTGCAATTTGTTGTCAGCCCTAGTTCCACTTTAAGCCTGGGTTCACATATGTGCGGTGCTGTATATCGCATGTGATTCGCACGGGAACTGCACCGCATTCCTGTGCGAATCACATGCGATTTGTGTGCGGTGCGATTGGAGTCGTATATTTTATATGGCTCAAATCACACCGCACCCACACCAAAGAGGTGCAGGACCCTTTTTTGGGTCTGCACTAGAATCGGATCGCATGGGTATTCACACCTATGCAATCCGATTCTGCACATCGCACCGCGTTTTGCGGACCGCTTTCGGGGTGTTGTTAACATACACACCCGCAGCGGTTCTCATGAACGGGGTGCGATTCTGATATTCGTACAGAAAACGCTGCAAATTCCGCACCCCATCAGTGTGAACCAGAGCTAAATGTGATGTAGAAAAGTTAGAACGCCAACCAGGCTTTCCTTTCCAGCAGGGATGTACAAACCTCAGGATTGGTTAGACCAGGGGTGGGCAACTGTGGCCCTCCAGCTGTTGATGAACTACAAGTCCCATCATGTCTCTGCTTTTGGGAGTCATGCTTGTAACTCCTAGATTGTAAGCCTCGATCCCCTCATGTTGTGCATTGTATTGGTATTGTTCTGTCACATGTTCTGTCCCCCTTTGTAATGTACAGCGCTGAGCGAACTATTGGCGCTTTATAAATACTGTAGAATAATAGTAATAACTGTCAGTTTTGCAATGCCTCATGGGACTTGTAACAGCAACAGCAGGAGGGCCACAGTTGCCCAACCCTGGGTTAGACAGACAAAATGTTTCAGTTTGGGTACCATCAAACGTATCCTCATTGGATGCCTGTGACTGCATATAGTGGAACATTTTAAATCTGCTGCATGCTTATGCTGCACCATCCAATGGTTGGCTCCATTTCCGACACTGAGAGTCAGTATAGGTACACTTTCCTGAATGTAAGGAAACCTGGGGAAGCACATAGGTGTGAATGGGCCTTCAGTTCACACTGGAGATTCCCTTCCCTGCACACTACCTGCTGCTTCGTTTATTCTTTCATGGCTACCTAGGCCATACAAGCCATGTTCAGTTCAGCCCCATCATTTGCTGAGTTGCTTCTCTTGCTCAGCATTTGATAAAGGTGAATGGGTTCTGTCTGGGATTTTCTAGCTTTTCAGAAGTCATATCTGCTTCTGCATTTCCTGAGAACTTCTTTGGGGTAACGATCGCTCTGTTGGCCAGAATATGCATGTCAAGCTTTCAGGCTCCTCGCCAGGCTCTGATCATGTGATCGTAATAGGCGAAGTTGGACACCTTAAGGACTGGAGGTGTGGCTGCATTAATCTTTCTCCTTGGCTGTGCTCCATATTGCCTTGAGATGTTTTTCTTTGCTCTGCAACTTCTTATTGCTTTGTTCTCTTTTTTGCTCTTGTATTATCTGTATTTTTGTTATGCCTTTGCTCTTAATTACTTGCAATTATACACCTTTTGTTAGATTATTGATTGTTTGAAATTCCTAGAAAGAGGATTGTCTAATAACCTTTTGGAATCTTGGGTTGAGTTGGTACCTACAGTGAGGAACAGAAGTATTTGAACACCCTGCGATTTTGCAAGTTCTCCCACTTAGAAATCATGGAGGGGTCTGAAATTCACATTGTAGGTGCATTCCCACTCTGAGAGACAGAATTTTTAAAAAAAAATTCAGGAAATCACATTGTATGATTTTTAAAGAATTTATTTGTCTTGCACTGCTGAACATAAGTTTTTGAACACCTAAGAAACAGCAAGAATTCTGGGTCTCAAAGACCTGTTACTGTGCCTTTAAAAAGTCCACCTCTACTCCACTCATTAATCTAACTTAGTAGCACCTGTCTGAGCTCTTTAAAGACACCTGTCCACCCCACAGTCAGTCAGACGCCAACTAATACCATGGGCACAAGACCAAAGAGCTGTCAAAAGACACCAGAGACAAAATTGTGGACCTCCGCAAGGCTGGAAAGGGCTACGGGGCAATTGCCAAGCAGCTTGGTGAAAATAGATCAACTGTTGGAGCAATTGTTAGAAAATGGAAGAGGCTAAAGACGACTGTCAGTCTCCCTCGGACTGGGGCTCCATGCAAGATCTCACCTCGTGGGGTATCACTGATGATAAGAAAGGTGAGGAATCAGCCCAGAACTACAAGGGAGGAGCTGGTCAATGACATGAAGAGAGCTGGGACCACAGTTTCAAAGGTCACTGTCGGTAGAACACTACGCCGTCATGGTTTCAAATCATGCATTGCACGGAAGGTTCCCCTGCTCAAGTCATCACATGTCCAAGCCCGTCTGAGGTTTGCCAATGACCATCTGGATGATCCAGAGGAGGCATGGGAGAAAGTCATGTGGTCAGATGAGACCAAAGTAGAACTTTTTGGTCTAAACTTTACTCGTCGTGTTTTGGAGGAAAAAGAAGGATGAGTTGCTTCCCAAGAACACCATCCCTACTGTGAAGCATGGGGGTGGTAACATCATGCTTTGGGGGTACTTTTCTGCGAAGGGGACAGGACGACTGCACTGTATTAAGGAGAGGATGAATGGAGCCATTTGTTGTGAGATTTTGAGCAACAACCTCCTTCCCTCAGTCAGAGCATTGAAGATGGGTCGTGGCTGGGTCTTCCAACATGACAACGACCCAAAGCACACAGCCAGGATAACCAAGGAATGGCTCTGGAGTGGCCTAGCCAGTCTCCAGACCTAAATCCAATAGATCATCTCCGTGTTGCTCAGCGACAGCCCCAAAACCTGACAGATCTAGAGGAGATCTGTGTGGAGGAGTCGGCCAAAATCACTGTTGCAGTGCAAACGTGGTCAAGAACTACAGGAAACGTCTGACCTCTGTAATTGCAAACAAAGACTTCTGTACCAAATAATAACACTGATTTTCTCAGGGGTTCAAATACTTATGTTCAGCAGTGCAAGACAAATAAATTCTTTAAAAATCATACAATGTGATTTCCTGATTTTTTTTTTTTAATTCTGTCTCTGAGTGGGAATGCACCTACAATGTGAGTTTCAGACCCCTCCATGATTTCTAAGTGGGAGAACTTGCAAAATCGCAGGGGGTTCAAATACTTCTGTTCCTCACTGTATAACTGCCTGCAAATGAGCCAGTTGCCCTTTGAAATCTAATGCACTGACACCCTGACAGTTGTAATTGGCTGATGGCAGGTAGTCATGACTCTTTGACACAATGCAGATGTTTTATGTAATAATATGTTTTAAATAAAATTGATGTACTTTGTGGTAGAGGTGTGCCCTGCTTCATCTCCCATTTCCTTGACTGCTGTTGTGGTTTGATGTACATCTGTCTTGAGTTATTGACACATTAGAGCAGATAAATGGCTGCACAGTCATTGACTGATCTGGGAGCTGTCGCCATAGCAGCAGCCCAAAAACAGTCACCCTTATTTGTCAAGTGTCTAAGAGAACTTTCTTTATAGTCCCAGGGCAACCTGCAAGGCTTAGCTTTTTAACCAACAATGGAAAAGGTGACAACACCAGATATGAGGAGCATGCATGAGTGTTCACGTATAAACAGCTGTGCCAAGCAAATGCATAAGTACACATGAACAATCTCCTCAGGCAACCTTTAGTATGTACTCCTGTGGAGAAGGAAGGAAGGAGACAAATCATCAGAAGGAAAACAGTAGCTATGAGGAAAGGTTTCCAATACATCCAATCACTGTAACCCCCAGTGAGCCTGGAATCGCAGTGTCTGCAGGTTACTTAGTTGGCCTGAAGATTTGGATACCCAACCCTCACATCTAGCATATGGTCAAAAGTATGTGGCCACCCCTTCAAATGATTCAATCCAGGTGTTTTAAGTAATGGGTCTGGTAATGTTACCTCGTGCAAAGGACATTTCAGAAAATTGTGCTCCTCCAACCTTATGGGTAACAGTTTTGAGAAGGCCCTTTTCAGTTCTAATTTTTCCCTGTCCACGAAGCCAACGCCTTAAAGAATTTGGTTTTATAGGTTTGATGTTGAGGAAACTCAAGTGGCTTGACCTCCATCCTACTGAAGACTTTTGAGATGGATTCGGGTGTTGATTGCAAGCCAGGTCTTCCAACCTCAGTACCTGACCTCACAAGTGCTCTTTTGGCTGTATGGGCACACATTTCCACAGACCTCCTCCAGAATTTGGTGAAAAGCCTTCTCAGAAGATTGGAGGCTTCTAAATCCATAAAGGCAAGAGCAGCTCTGTTCAAATTTTAACAGACACACTCCAAAAAAAGAATAGTGGCTGCTATTGCCGCAACAGGATGCCAACTCCATTTTAATGCCCATGGTTTTCGAATGGAATGTATAACAAGCTTGTATAGGTGTGATGGTCAAGTGTCCATTGGTCTTAGGCCATATAGTGTAGGTTATAGTCACAAGCTAGATAGCAAGACTACCACATATATATGAAACTTCTTTATTGGGAGCATTTCACAGTAGAAATCTGGGGGCTGCCTTTAGAATGCTAGTTGCGTGGTTGTTATAAGCACCCTGTGGCTTGAGTACTTTGAGCCTTTAATCTAGCCAGAAGACCCTTGTCTTCATGCTTGTTCCAGGCCAAAGACTCAAAGCAAGTAAAGGAAAAGGATGAGTATGACAGCTAAGCAACTGGCATTTTCAGAAGGAGAGGTCATCTGTGGTAGCCTGCTCCTTTCTCTGACAAGTTTCCTCTAATGGTGTCAGGAACACAATCTGGTCTTCTTTCAGACACATTGACAAATGAGGCTTCATAGTCATTTATAATCTTTATTTGAAAACATTTATTAAAGTGTTTGGCAGAGGAACAGTTCTTGTTTCCCATAGCAGCCAGAATCTCCTATTAAAGGGAAAATCTGGTGGCCATGGGTATTAGGAGTAGTTCTTTCTTCAAACAATTTGATAAACGTAGCCCCTTCCTCTATCACTATCCTTATCCTGTGTTTCCTTTTTCATCTTCCCGCTTTGATTGGCCTGTTTTGACGGCCATCTTGTGTGACATTGAGTGAGCGTTCTGTCCTATCTCACTGCCGTGTCCTTTTCCTTCTTTCCTTGTTCCTCTTCCCCTCCACCCCCTGGCTTCCCTTTCTCTCCAGCTCTCCCTTCTGTGGCGTGCCTTCCTTTGTCAGATATCAACGACAACCAGAACCTTAAGAATAAATACTTGCTAGCCAATGAAAACCAACGACCTGGGCATTTCTCCACAGCCTCCATGGGCTCGCTGGCCTCTTCCCCCTCATCCTGCTCTCTCAGTAGCCAGGTGGGCCTGAACTCTGTGACGAGTATCCAGGAGAGGATTATGTCCACACCGGGAGGAGAGGAAGCCATCGAACGTCTAAAGGTAACCTTTGCCATGACATTATTTGCTGCTGTCTGTGATGTATGATGAAGATTCTGAGGCTTGTTGGCAAGTCTTAGTTTGCATATTCGGAACGTTCAGTAAATAAAACCAACTCTGAGCATAGAGAGAGACACTACTGCTCAGAGTGGGTCATTATGTGCTGGGAAGCTGTCATAAATGTGGCAGCTTCCTGCACAGGTGTTGTGGTTGCTAGGACACCAGCAGATGTTGGCTTCCTAGCAACCAATGACTTGTTACCAGTCCTATTCAGCTGCCAGCTCAGGGATTCCCTGGATGAAAGTTGAATGTAAACAAATGGACCAGGAATACAAGCCATTATCCTTAACCAAATTTGGCAATGCCCAATTACACTGGAGGCAGACCTGAAGAGGAACTAGTCATGGAGTTCCCCATCAGACACAACGTATCCACCGCTTTGCCTGCCCTCTGTCACGCACTGTCAATCAAAAGCAAGGTGGAACTGATAGTGAGCTAGTCTCTAAGTTCCATGTCAGGCTCTGCTCACCGCATTACAAAACTCCTCAGCCATCCACCTGTCTTTGTGACAGGCACAGTGGCCACGGAGGAGTCAGTCAGTCAAGCTGAGATGCACTGAGGATGGTGTGTGTGGTTTGAACACTCTGGCTTCAATGCCACCATCTCCTAAAGCTGGCCATAGATGGGTAGTTTTACAGTTGCAAGAAAAAGTATGTGAACCCCTTGGGATTACGTGGAGTTTTGCATGAATTGGGCATAAAATGTGCTCTGAACGTCATCTAAGTCACAACAATAGAAGAACACAGTCTGCTGAACATAATACTACACAAACATTAGATGTTGCCATGGTTTAATTGCACATAACATGTAAACATTCACAGTGCAGGGAGGAAAAAGTATGTGAGGACCTAGCTTAATGACTTCTCCCAGAGCTAATTGGAGCCAGGAGTGAGCCAACCTTGACTCCAATCAGTGTGATGATATTGGATGTGTTGCTGACAGCTGTCCTGCCCTTAAAAAACACACACCTGTTTTGGGTTTACTGGTTTCAAGAAGCACTGTCTGATGTGAACCATGCCTCACAGAAAAGAGCTCTCAGAAGACCTACGATCAAGAATTGTTGACTTGCATGAAGCTGGAAAGAGTTACAAAAGTATCTCCAAAAGCCTTGATGTTCATGTGTCCACGGTAAGACAGACTGTCTACAAATGGAGAAAGTTTAGCACTGTTGCTACTCTCCCTAGGCGTGGTCGTCCTATAAAAATGACTGCAAGAGCACAGCGCAGAATGCTGCATGAGGTAAAGAAGAATCCCAGAGTGTCAGCTAAAGACCTACAGAAATCTCTGGCACATGCTAACATTTTGGTTGACACATCTACAATAAGGAAAACATTAAACAAGAATGGAGTACATGGGAGGACACCACGGAGGAAGCCATTGCTGTCCAAAAAGAATATTGCAGCACGTTTGAAGTTTGCAAAAGAGCACCTGGATGTTCCACAGCACTACTGGCAAAATATACTGTGGACAGATGAAACCAAGATTGAGTTGTTTGGGAAGAACACACAACACTATGTGTGGAGAAAAAAAGGCACAGCACACCAACATCAAAACCTCATCCCCACTGTAAAACATGGCGGAGGGAGCATCATGGTTTGGGGCTGCTTTGCTGCCTCAGGGCCTGGACGGATTGTTGTCATTGATGGGAAAATGAATTCCAGAGTTTATCAAGACATTTTGCAGGAAAACGTATGACCATCTTTCTGCCAACTGAAGCTCCGCAGAGGATGGGTGATGCAACAGGACAATGACCCAAAGCATACAAGTAATTCAACAAAACAATGGCTGCAACAGCACAGAATACGCCTTGTGGAGTGGCCCAGTCAGAGTCCTGACCTCAACCCGATTGAAATGCTGTGGCATGATCTTAAGAGAGCGATTCACACCAGACATCCCAAGAATATTGCTACACTGAAACAGTTTTGTGAAGAGGAGTGGTCCAAAATGACTCCAGATCGTTGTGCAGGTCTGATCTGCAACTACAGGAAACGTTTGGTTGAGGTTATTGCTGCCAAAGGAGGGTCAACCAGTTATTAAGTCCAAAGGTTCACATACTTTTTCCTCCCTGCACTGTGAATGTTTACATGTTATGTGCAATTAAACCATGGCAACATCTAATGTTTGTGTAGTATTATGTTCAGCAGACTGTGTTCTTCTATTGTTGTGACTTAGATGACGTTCAGAGCACATTTTATGCCCAATTCATGCAAAACTCCACGTAATCCCAAGGGGTTCACATACTTTTTCTTGCAACTGTATGTTCAGCCAGCAAATAAGGTGGATGAAGGGATCTCCCCTGTCGAGACATTGTGCTTTGGCAACTGGGACTTTCCACTGTCAGAATGCACTGATCAGTGACTGCAGACACTGATCGAGAAACTTTTCAACATTCCAATTCAACACAAGTCGATCTAATTATCTACATCTGTTGAACAGGGACAGCTACTCAAGGATAAGATTTCAATTTTTGATCCACCTATGGCCAGATTAAGACAGGTTCCCAACGAGAGGGTCATAAAAATTCAAAAACGTTATTTTAACAATGGAGCTTACTATAAAACATTTCCTGTAAGAAAGCTTCAACCCCGTATTTAGCAGAAACTGCCCTTTAAGTAGAAGATTTTAGAAGAAGGGGGTTCTGACTGTGACCCCCGTCCTTGCCCTCCCGTCTCCCCCACCCAGCCTTGGTACAATGCAAACAGTGCGCAGCCTTTATGTCTGGACAGTCATGCTATTGTATGCGGCCTATAAGAGGCTCCGGCTGCGGCACATTACATTTGTATGCAGGAGGCAAAGAATAGGCCTATTCTTGTGACCGTTTCCACAATGCTGCAATCACGCCACCACACTGCCTGACATAAACAGGAACTTCACCGTCAGGATTAAAGAGCCACAACACCCAAAGTTGATTTCCATAGAAAGCCAGTAAATAAACATGCAGAAAAATGAAGACAAATGTCACTTTATTTATTTTTCTCTCCGTTTTATGTTGTTTACTGCAATGCAACCTCATTGTACTTGTGAAGATTAAATCTGAATCCCAGGCAGTAAAACATAAATGCGTTTATTTGTTTATGAACGAGTTTTGAATTGAAGCGCGGCACCGTAATATTCAAGTCCAGATACAATGACAGACTTTTACAAAGACAACGCGTTTCTGGGGCTGTACTCTGCCCCCTTCAGCAGGGCTGAAATGTACTATAAAAAGTATTAACTAATATACACATTAATCAATGAAAGCATTTAAAATATATAATATATAAAATTGACTTAAAAAATTAGACCACTAATCATCAAGAAAGTAATCCTAAATTAATACTATATCGGTAACCTATGTGAATGTTTTTCATTCATGTATTTATTAACCCCCCTGGCGGTATTCCTGAGTGTAGCTCGGGGTAAAGTTTCAGCACCACAAGCGGTAACCTCGAGCTACACTCTGGAATACACTGCAGTGTTGCTCCGGGATCCCTTCTGCACTTACCTTGTCCTGCGCTCCCGCGATGTCCCTCCTGCAGTGTCCCCGGCAATGTCCTCCAGCCGATGTCGGCATCTGTCGTCTGGGTCCCTTCCCTGCGACGTCAGGACGTACGGGGGACGGAACGGTGGGAAATTTAAAAATGTCAAAAAGTGACATTCACTAAAATCACATAGTAAAACATTCCTGTATTAAACCATTTCACATACATTTTGTCCCGAGTGCTTTGTCCGGCGCCCTGCCTGCATTTTTACTGCTCTTTCTGCCTGGAAACTGAGAAATGTCCATGGTGTCCAAAAAGCGTCCCTTTAGGTCAGACGCGGTTTTAGACCGGCTAGAGAACAGCGATAGTAAATCAGAACCACTTGCAGAATTGAGTGATAATGATTCGTGGGGGAAATTCCTCATCAGACACTGAAAACGATTTTGCGACTTTGCTCAGTGATGTGCGAACTTGGCGCTATATTTCACATTTCAGTGTTTTTGGTTTGATTACATTATTAAATTAAATTTATTATTATATTATATTTTCATGATTATTTATTAAATTATAATTTAGTGTTTCAAATTTTATCATACCCGGGATGTTTACTAGACTCTTGTTCGTACAGATTTCAGTGAGTTATTCCTAAAAATTACAGCCTACAATAAAAAAAAATACATATTTCCATGCAAAAAAATGTACCGCTTTGAGCAAAGAAATACGGACGTAATCAGACCGCTAGGGAGGCTACAGCAGAACTAAAGGCAGCAACACTTCTCTCTTCTCCAATGGTCCAATGCCTGTGAGGTCCCTTGTCATCGCCAGCATCTTGTACCCAGTTTCCTCTGGGTTCCAGTCATTGGCCGCTTTGATTGGCTGGTGAGGGATGACATCACTCCTGCGCATGGGCCGGAGTCATTCATCCCAGCACACTGGTACTGTACCAGAAATATAAGCTGAGCTACTCATGTGCAGCTCCTTTTACATTCCGCAAAGGATTGCGAACAGGACGGTAGGTTTATGCTATTGCAGATGAAACGCTGCATGTCTGTTCTGCAATAAAGAGCCTTCCTGTTGGCAAAAATGAAAAATTGCATGTGGTTCAGTGTTAAAATTTTTGCATTCATTTTTATATGTATCCACTGTAAATATTTGATTTTGTCTTGACATCAGTCTCCTTCCATTGTCTGATAGAAAAGTGACGGCAGAGTGGTCCATCGAGTCTGACCTTTTTTTTTTTGGGGGGGGGGGGGGGGGTTGTTTTTGTTTTTGCTTTGTTTTTTTTTACTTTTTTTTGTCTGAGTATAGATCTATGCCTGACCCAAGCATGTTTTAAGCACTGAAAGAAGGATCTGCTCGACTGGAAGACAATCAGACTCCACTGCTTTTCATAGTGAAGCCTTTCTCCCTTCCTGAGCATGCTTACAGGAGGGGAGAGTATAGGGATGCCCTCATACAGTATGTGTCTTGCTGCTCCTTTGTTGTCCATCCACAGACCGGGGCGGGCTGGTGACCATATAGTATTGATTAACAGCAGAGGAAAAAAGTGAGGTCTGGCACACGTGTCCGTTTCACATCATAGGACTGGTCAAACAGATATATACATAAAGTGCAGCGCTTAATAAAGTGACAAATAATTAGTGAAAAAAAACTGTAAAAAATGTATCATAAAAAATAGTCCATCCAAAAATAAAGAAAAAATAAAAAGTCCCCAGAGGCTGTGATGAAACAAAGGAAATCCAAGGACAGTTGTGGTGTCATCAACCACTCATAGGAAAGGCTTACCAGAAAAGCATGACCCCCTGTTAAGAGGGTTCAATCGCGCGCTTTGTTATAAACAACCCAGAAAGCCGGACAATCGGATCCTCCAAGAGAGCAAGTAAAGACCTTCCAAACAGTGGACCTCAATTAGGGTAGTTACACCAGTCAGGATAAAGTTCAGGCTCGTAGTAGGAAACATGTAAAAAAAGAGTGCAAGACCATTAAGACAACATTTATTTAAAGTATGGTTCAGGGGCGGACTGACCATTTGGAAATTCAGGCACGGCCCGGGGTCAGTAGGGGGCCCCATGAGATGCCCCTGGTACCTTTTTCATAGGCTTTTTTGAGTTTGGGCAAGGACACAGGGGCTCCATGATCCCCTATTGCCTGGGGGCCCCATGAGTTGTCAGTCCGCCCCTGGTTTGGTTGCACTCACATGAAGGCAATCATTATTAGGCATTGATAGGCAAAAAAATCCAAATTTTCCAGTTTCTAAAATGGCCACCGGCTGGTTAAACAGCCAATTATTTTGGCAGAAAAGGCAGTTCACATACATGTATATAAAATGAAAGGGATCAGTTGACTACAGGTCACAGGCAGTTGATTCAAATAGCCTGAGTGGAATTGCCACATGTCCATGGTGGGGGTAGGGAATGGACTCCCAACAAAATTCCATTTCTTGCCCCTCTCCACCCAGAATGAGCAAAACTTTCCTGGTAATGTTCCTTTTGTACTGTTTAAAAGGTTTATATGTATTAACAGTGGCGTCCCTAGGTGGGTGTGTGCTGCTCTGGGTGACACCTGTCTCATGGGGTGACAACAAAAAGTGTTAAAGCAAGCCGACGGCCCCCGTGAGATGTATCGGATCTGCGATAACACATGGTGTCACCCCTCCAGAGGTGGGCGGTCCTTGTCGTGGACACACAGCCTGGCTCTTCCCCTTTCCTGTGTCCCCGTTGCACCCCCCCCCGGACCGGTGTTGCAAGATCAGTTAACCCCCGTATAGGTTGCAACCTGACAATCCCCGCAAGGTGGATGGATCTGCGAATTGGGGAGCATAATGGATCGGACTCAATCCGCAGATCCAATCCATCTTGCGGGGAATGTTCAGCTTGCAACCTATATGGGGTTAACTGATCTCGCAACACCGGTCCGGGGGGTGCGACAGGGACACAGGGAGGGGAAGAGCCAGGCTCCCCAATCCGCAGATTCGATCCATCTTGCGGGGATCATTGGCTTGCAACCTATACGGGGTTAACTGATCTTGCAACACCGGTCCAGGGGGTGCGACGGGGACACAGGGAGAGGAAGAGCCAGGCTGTGTGTGCACGACGTGGACCGCCCTCTGGAGGGGGTGACACCATGTGTTACCGCACCGGGTGACACCAACCCTAGGGACGCCCCTGTGTATTAAGGTTCTACATTGAGATCAGGATTCTTCTGTTGAGCTTTGCAGTTCAGTAGGGTAAAGTAGAACTATAGACAAAACTTTTTTTTTCATTTCGGATAGAGCAAGGGAGGCGTATAACCCGTCAAATTTATTTTCCCCATCGGTGTTCCATTGCGGAGATTTACTGTCACTTCCTGTCCCATAGCCAAACAGGAAGTGAAAAGAAATCCCACCAAATTAATGGAATTCCTTTGGGCCCCCCATGTCTCCAGAACTAGTGTCCCCAATGGAATATTTCCCCTTCATTACTTTTCTGAGGACAACCCAAAATTTGGGATTTTTTTTTACTTTCAGTGCTAATGGTAAACAGGACAAATAGAGAGGGGGAATCTCCTTAATGGGGCACAGATAGCAATAAAAACATGACAGGGGCTCTAATCCCTCTCCACTCTATCCAAACTGTTTGCCTTTAGTTATACTTTAAGGTACTGTACTTTCCTGTGGCTCATCGATGACACAGATGCATTCTGACAGGTTGGTTCAGTTGGCATGTGCAACACAAATTCCTATCTGAAATGTTCCATATTTATTTTTCTAACCTTCAGGAATCAGAGAAAATTATCGCCGAGCTCAACGAAACCTGGGAGGAAAAACTTAGAAAAACAGAAGCGATCCGCATGGAAAGGTACAACACGAGAAATCACTTACTGTTGCTTATTAATTAAGGCCAAAAGCCATGGGGATTGTGCAACAGCTCTGAGAAACCAATCAAAAGTTCTCTTCAGCTGATGTAGGTGTGATTGGTTGCTGTGGGCTGATGCACTTTACACTTCATCTGGTTTTTTTTTTTGGTTTTTTTTAAAGTGAGCACTGCCTTATTAACCCCTTCACGCCGGCGCCTCCCGGCCCTTTAAGGGTTTCAGAAGCTGGGAGGCAAGGGCGGGGTTTAGGGTCATGTGACCGCCGTGACACGCCATCATGCCAGTCACATGATCGGGAAATGTCCCGATCAAAAGAGGAGATCGGAACCTTTACGTGAGTACCAAACGTGTGCTGGGAGCGCACAGGGCGCACGCTCTCAGCACATATTTTCTTTTTCAATAGAACGCAAATGTGCGGCCGCTCGGCATCTAGGCCCAGACGCAGAGAGGCCGCACATTTGCGGTTGGCCGGTGTGAAGAGGTTAAAGTGGAACTACATGGCATCTGAGCACCACAATCCAAAAAACGCTAATCTTTAATATTCAAAGCAAACTCGTCCATCCATCCATGTCTCTACTCCATGCTTTATTTTGCTGAGAAATCGCTCTTAAAAACATCCCCCAGCATTCCTGGCTGTGGCCATTTTGAATAAGGACTGATGATTCATATAGAAATTACTTCCTGGAATCCATCTGCCTTTAGCTCATGCAGGCAGGAAGAAGGGTGTGCTTAGCTGAGAAAATCCCTCCTCCCCTCCTGAAGGCTGCTGGGATGTATGACATAATTTGCCTAGGTCAGAAACCAGGAAGTAACTGAAGAAATGTAAAACAAAGTTTAAAACAAGTAAATATAGTATACTTTATTGTTATGCTAGCAGTATAGGGAGTAGATAGTCTTGATTGAGAGAGTGACGTTGCACTTTAAAGTGACATAGCCAGTAGAAACCCTTTACAGATTGAGACAGTGGAGGCATCAATCCATTCATCTATTTTATGAAAATTCCTGCATGCTCATGGAGCTTTTGTACCCCCACAAGCATGCTGATATCCACATTGCTCAGACCCAAGATGGGGCCCCTATATACCAGAATGCAAAACCGTTCTAAGCAATGTAAAGTGTGATATTGTGTGTTCAGTTGAGAGCTGAGTTTCTACTACTACATTTATTTCAGAGAGTTTAGCAGCAGAATCCCCTTTCTTATCATGATGATGTCTCTTACACCACATCAGGTTGGGTTACTGGTCGATTATTGGCTTCTGTGGCTTTGGAAAGAGTTATGCTAAGATAAATGTCAGATTTACTTAGTGTTCCTAAACCCACAACAGTACAATCAGTCTGTAGATGCAGTAAAGCATGCTTGTTATACTCACTGTGCAACCTAAGGGGTTAATCCTCTGCATTGTGTAAAAATGCTGTTTGATCCTGACTTTTCTGATCCTCCCCTTTTTCCAGTGTCCCCGTTATCTCCTGGTATGACATATTGTGTGGAGTCTCTCTGTACATGCTCAGTTTGGTGTGTATTGCTAGAGAGGTTTTTTTTTTTTTTTGGGAGAATGCATGCGATCAGCACAGGGCTAATCAGCACTGTCCAGACAGAAGTCAGGGGTTCTGCATCCTCCTAGAGCAAATTCCTCCTACAAGCTATAACCAGTTCTTGGTCAGACACTAATAGAAGTCTCAAGGCTGCTCTATACTGCTGAAGAGAAAATATATGTAGCAGTTTATATTTACTAAAATAATTGCACTTCCATGTTGTGTGTACTGTGGGAAACCAGATATAGTGAATGCGGGGTCCGGGGAGAGCGGATATAGTGAATGCGGAGTCCAGGGAGACAAAATATAGTGAATGCAGGGTCCGGGGAGAGTGGATATAGTGAATGCAGGGTCCGGGGAGAGTGGATATAGTGAATGCAGGGTCCGGGGAGAGCGGATATAGTGAATGCAGGGTCCGGGGGAGAGCGGATATAGTGAATGCAGGGTCCGGGGAGACCAGATATAGTGAATGCAGGGTCCGGGGAGAGAGCAGATATAGTGAATGCAGGGTCCGGGGGAGAGCGGATATAGTGAATGCAGGGTCTGGGGAAAGCGGGGGGTGGGGGGGGTATAGTGAATGCAGGGTCTGGGGAAAGCAGATATAGTGAATGCAGGGTCCAGAGAGAGCGGATATAGTGAATGCAGGGTCCGGGGAGAGCGGATATAGTGAATGTGGGGTCCGGGGAGAGCAGATATAGTGAATGCGGGGTCCGGGGAGAGCGGATATAGTGAATGTGGGGTCCGGGAGAGCGGATATAGTGAATGCAGTGTCCGGGGAGACCGGATATAGTGAATGCAGGGTCCGGGGAGACCAGATATAGTGAATGCAGGGTCCGGGGAGAGAGCAGATATAGTGAATGCGGGGTCCGGAGAGAGCGGACCTAGTGAATGCGGGGTCCGGGGGAGAGCGGACCTAGTGAATGCGGGGTCCGGGGAGAGCGGACATAGTGAATGCGGGGTCCGGGAGAGAGCGGATATAGTGAATGCGGGGTCCGGGGAGAGCGGATATAGTGAATGCGGGGTCCGGGAAGACCGGATATAGTGAATGCGGGGTCCGGGGAGAGCGGATATAGTGAATGCGGGGTCCGGGAAGAGCGGATATAGTGAATGCAGGGTCCGGGGAGAGCGGATATAGTGAATGCAGGGTCGGGGGAGACCAGATATAGTGAATGCAGGGTCCGGGGAGAGCGGATATAGTGAATGCAGGGTCTGTGGAGACCGGATATAGTGAATGCAGGGTCGGGGGGAGAGCGGATATAGTGAATGCAGGGTCGAGGGAGACCAGATATAGTGAATGTAGGGTCGGGGGGAGACCAGATATAGTGAATGCAGTGTCTGGGGAGAGCGGATATAGTGAATGCAGTGTCTGGGGAGAGCGGATATAGTGAATGCAGTGTCTGGGGAGAGCGGATATAGTGAATGCAGGGTCCTGGGTTTAGTAACACTTTACTGCCAAAAGGTTTTAGTTGTACAACATAGGCATAAATATGTGGAAGCCGCAGTGTCTCGTCATGGCCTCTGTTTGTTGTGCGGTCCTAACTGGTCTAAGAGAGCCTCCATGTTGGAGCATATATAGCAATGGATAAATTAAGGACAGATATTACAGAAGTCAATGATTTTTTTTTATTATTATTTCAGGGAGGCATTACTGGCAGAGATGGGTGTGGCCATACGAGAGGATGGAGGAACATTGGGCGTATTTTCTCCTAAAAAGGTAAAGTTCTCTTCACCGCGGAAGCACTTGCGTCAAGTAGGTGATGCTGAACCTTGAAATCAAGAATTTTTTTTTGTTGTTGCTTGGTCCATAGCCGATTGCATTATTGGTAAACAGTGATCCTCTTTGAATTGAGGGGACTTGCAGTTTACACGTAGGTTTATCACAGCCTAGATTACTGGAGGTTTAATTCTTTGGTCCCAGTTGTCAGTGGACACACATTGAAAAGTTGTATTAAGCAGCAGTGTGCTGTAACTCTCCCTAACTAATCGAATTACATTACATATTGCTGACTGCGGAGGGCCACTACAAACTGTTACCTGATTGGGGACTATGGATTATAACATGTCATTGCCTTTAGGTACATATTAAGAATTGATTCAGTATATTCATAATACATTATTTCATCTTCAGATACATGTGGTTCTTGTATTTTTTGTGTTTTTTTTTTTTTTTTAAATCTAACAAGAATAATTGCACATTAAAAAAAAGCACATTAGCCTCTTTAAAAGATCCAACAAAACAAGATACAGTAGTGATGACAACAGCTTTTCTTTACTGCACCTGTCATGTCAGACATATTGAATGTTACGGTGTCCTACCATTACCTGGTAATGTGCATATTCGTGACTCTGAAGTCCTATTACATGGGGCGGAAGTCTTTTCCGGTCATCGGAGGATCAACTTTCAGATCCCCTGCTGATCGGAGCAGAGTGGGCAGATGACACATCCGTGTCCGCTCAGAGCCCACTCTGCTCTATCTCCAATCCACCTAAATGGACTCAGACACGTTCTGCGTCCATTTAGGTGAATTGGAGATAGAGATCACGTTCTGTTTTTTTGTAGCTGACCGGATCGGACCTGGAGATAGGTGAGTGTAAACGGACACACGTCCGTTTACACTTGTCTTTCAATAGCAGGGGTAGGCAGCCTGCAGCTCTCTAGCTGTTGTGGAACTACATTTCCCATGAGGCATTGCAACATTACAAAACTGACCTGGAGATAGGTGAGTGTAAACGGACACAAGTCCGTTTACACTTGTCTGTCTATAGCAGGGGTAGGCAACCTGCGGCTCTCTAGCTGTTGTGGCGCTACATTTCCCATGAGGCATTGCAACATTACAAAACTGACAGTTACAGCTATGACTTTAAGAGGCATGATGGAACTTGTAGTCCTGCAACAGCTGGAGAGCCGCAGGTCACCTACCCCTGGTCTATAGGAATGCATGGACTTTCCAATCAGGTCCACCCAAAAAACTGACAGGTGGACCTGATCAGATCAAACATAGCAAATATGTTACTCCTGCGCTGGGGATGGACTCAGCAGAGGCTAGGATGACAATGTAAATGTCCTGAAATATGCACTGCTTGCTGCTCTCAATGGACCGGGGTAGTCCAAAGTCACTAAATGCAAAAAGAAAAAAAACAAAAAGAGGGCGCACCGGCCTGGTGCATTATCGTTTAAAATATTTATTTAAAGAATTTAAAAGTAGATATCATACTCACAATGGACATTATCCATTGCCTCTTTATCTGAGTCCACAACGATGGAACCCAGGATGACCACCAGCTGACCCGTTTCGAGGACTCAGCCTCTTCCTCAGAGCCAACACTCCAAGAGTCTACACTTCTCTTAGCTTAGATAAGAGAAGTGTAGACTCTTGGAGTGTTGGCTCTGAGGAAGAGGCTTCGTCCTCGAAACGCGTCAGCCAGTTGGTCATCCAGGGTTCCATCGTTATAGACTCAGATGCTATATGGATTGAACACCTTTGTTCATTGTGATGTGCTTGTGTTTTATATGTCCATTGTGAGTATGATACCTACTTTTATATTCTTTCAATAAATATTTTAAACGATAATGCACTAGGCCGGTGCGCCCTCTTTTTGTTTTTTCCTTTTGCATTTAGGGACCTGATCAGATTGCCTGTGTGAAAGGAGCCTTAAGTTGCCCATCGATCGTTTGAACCTCGGCTGGTTTGACAGGAACTGGTGGAGATTTGAACCATGTATTGGCAGACTGAATGTACCTTAGCTGATTGATCAATCAACTTGGGTACAGCCAGCCTGACGGATTTTACATGCGAATATTGCTAGTGGCTGTTATAGTCACTAGCAATAAATCACTGTGTTCTCCTGGCTGGGGGGGAGACCAAATGGCTCCGTGGGAGAGATTCCTCTGTCAACACTGTGTTGATGAGTGAATCAAGCTAATTTTTTTTCCGGCAACCGCAAGAAATTCTCTCGGTCTATGGCCAGCTTTACCTGAAAATTTATATTAAAATGTATTCCTTTAGATTTTTTATGCTCTCTAAGCTAGTACAGGTGTGGCTGGCATGAAAATCTAGAGGTAGGTTCGGGTTTTTTGTTTTTTTTCCATCTAACACCAAAAAAAAACGTAATCTTTAAACACTTTCTGTGGGATGTCTTTTGTTACCATCAGGAAATGTGTCCGCTGCATCATTTGTCAGATATTGAAGCGACCTTTCCTCCCTCTCCATTTCCCAATCCACACAGCAATCTCTCCTCCCTGATCCGCTATAGATTTCTTCTAATGTCCTGTCTTTCTTTTCGAATATTTCGCTGTCAACGCTCACCTCTCCTCCAGATCTCCTCCATGATCTTTGATGAATATTTTGACTCTCTGTCCACAGATCAGGTCTGTCCATCAACTCAATTCATGAGCCAGTGATAAATGCTAATGCCTTTTTGGGCATCTTTTTTTTTTCTCATCCAGCTATTGAATGGTTAATTAATAAACACTAGGGACAGAGATATCAATAAAGTACTGAGAATTTTCAGGACTAATCGAGCTGAGCTGTTTTTCCTAGTATCTGTAATTAACCAGGAGATGGTTGTGGCTCATGAATTACTGTGTTTTCATTGTGATAGTAGTGACCTGTAGCATACACCCATCAATACGAGTGTATTTTAGAAACCCCAAATCTATATTGCAAAGTCCCCACAGATCCGGTAAGTGGATGCTGAAGAAGGTGAATTACTCATTGGCTTCCTATGGGTTGGACCACAAAGGAGATTTTTGTAGCTCAGTCATGCTTCTAAAATATTTAGAGATTAGTAGGAAAGGAATCCCTATGCATGTGGAGCAAATGGATCTCTTAAAGCTACACCAGTAGCAAGTATTAAAAATCATAACTGTGTTTCACAGTAGCTTCGTGCAACTTGTGTAACTTATACTATTGGGAACCATTTGTTCAATCTGTATGAGCAATCCTACTTTCCAGAACCTACCTTAAAGCGGAGATCCACCTAAAAAAAAAAAAGAAATAAAAGCGGCTACAAAAACTGTAGCTGCTGACTTTTAAAATACAGCCACTTACCTGTCCCTCGGTCAAGCGGTGTCCTCACCACCGTTGGTTTCACCGGCTGTCTTCTCTCCCAGGTGCCGGTGTTTTCAGTGTGGGCACCCGGTTGTGACAGCTTGCGACTTCACAGCTGGGTGCCCACTGCACATGCGCGAGAAGCGCTGTTCTTTGTGAATGGCCCCATAGTCTTCTGGGACCTGTCACGTGTCCCAGAAGACTACGGGGAGGGACGAGGAAGGAAAAGCTCCGCTTCCGATCGCCTAGGCGATTGCAGCGGAAGTGGGAGCGGGTACCTGTCAAATTCTGGTACCCGCTCCCCCCCCCCCCCGCTTCCCAAAGGTGCCAATCCTTAATGGGGAGCGGGGTACAAAGGCTTAAAGTGGAACTTCCCCTTTTGGGTGGAGCTCTGCTTCAAGCTAAAATACTAAGTTGGCCTTACTTCTAAAAAGGAAAAGTTTCAATAATTGTGTTGCAAAATTTTCCATCGTTAAAAAAAATAGCTAAGCACTATTATGGCCCCCAGTTTCAGCCCCCGTCTTAAGGCTCAGTTTACAACTCGTAGGTACGACGGAGCGTGTGCACTTTTTTTTTTTTTTTTTTTCACATTCCCGTCCATCACATTTAGTGAAGCCTATTCACTTCAATGGGCTGTCCTACTAATGAGAAAAGCACAAAAGAAGTGCCTGACCCATTTAAAAAGCTGTTCCGCACCGAAACGCATGTATTGCGGTACCATGTATTTTGGAACTTGCGTTCGCAAGATGCCTTGGGGTGCCATTAAAAATGAATGGCACCACTGCACGGCTGCAAAAGGGCAGCACGTTTTTTGTGCTTTTTGGGGAATGTGCGATTTTGCACGTGTTCCTGTAATGCACAGGTGTGAACAAAGCCTGAATGATTCTTTTTCTGAAAAGACAGACCTTCAAACAGCAGACCCCTTTTTTTTTTTTTTTTTTTTTTTTTTTTTTTTTTATAAAGCAGTAGTAAACTCCAATTTTTGTACCTACAGGTAAGTCAACGATAAAGCTTTACCTATAGGTACAGTGAATATCTCATAATCATGCACTGTTTAGGAAATATTTAGATGTGTAGCAGCCGGTGATGTCACCGGTGAATGCACTCTGAATGGACGACACATTGGAGTGTGCCATCCATGGAAAGTGCTGTGCCACCACCGTGACTCACATGCACAAGAATGACATCATCCCGGTTTAGCCATTCAAACTGCCGGAGCCCCCAAACCTGGAAGGAAGACTGGGTGAAGATGGAATCCATGTCAGCAGTGACAGCGCACTGCTGGAGGGATGCCATTAACTTGCAGGGGATGTTTTTTTTTTTTCTTTTTCAAAAAAAATGGCAAACGTGGTTTGGGATTATGTCTTCTGTATGCTTGATATGTACTCCATATGCACTGCATTGGTGAAAGTTGTTATTACTGACGTTATCACCTGATGGAGGTTGGGATTATATAACTTTGTATGTACATGGGTCCAAACTTCAATTAAAAAAAAGACCTGATTTAAAAAAAAAAAAAAACTTGCAGGGAATGTATTTTTTTTTTTCTACTGATTTAGGCTTAAGGCAGAGTGGGGAAGTGTCATAACCCCTTGTCCAGCTTTGTTCTCTGACCACCTTGTTGCATTCCTGCCTACCACTCTACTGAAAATAAAAATATTTT